GTTATTAATTAATACTATATGTTAATAATTATTGTTAAATAATGTTAAGTGATAATAATTAATGTTATGAATTGATAATTATGTTTGTATAACTAAAAGCATGTGAACACGTGATCTTGTACTACTATTTCGCGACTAATTAATGTATATTACAGATTATAAATATTTACTAAAAGAAATTATTAAATTGTCACTATTATTACATGAGCTTATATTCATTAATTAAATTCTAAATATTATTTTAAAAGTTATTATTGCAGGTGTACTAGTATTACATTATTATAATATTTTCATTCTGTAACAATGCCCAGTTCAGATATAGCTCATATATCAAGCTTACAAATGACGACATAATTACATTCAGATTATTAAACTTATAATAAGGCTATACATATTTCCAAAATTGATTTTAGATTTTTGAGATATTTTGACTTTTTGAGATTTATGCAAAATTTATTCTATATATGGAAGTAAAAAAAGTATCCAGTTATATGTATATTCAATCAAAGAATAAATCTGAGTAGTCAAAAAATTTTGAATTTTAAATAAAATAATTTCATCTTTTATGAAAAACTATTTCAACTTTTTTTTTCAAAATTACAATTTTGGAACCTCAAAATAATTTTGTATACAAGTATAGATAAGGCTAGCTGGTTACATAACCTATCTTGACTATACAAATTTTATTATCAGATTTGAAATTTTAAAAGCAATTAAAACATATTGTAGAGAGGTTACATATCACTGGTCATAACCTAAATCAGATATTTCTTCATAATTAAAATTAATCAAAAATATTAAGCTAATATATGAAAATCTATATAAGTGATTAAAACATTATTGATATTGAATTTGACTTTCTAAAAAGTATATAAGCCATTATCCATCAAAGTGACTAAGTGTAATGATATAAATATAAAATTATTGTTATATTATTTTATAGATCGTGGGGGTATCCAAGTGTGATGATGTGAACACAAATTTGTTATTATATTTTTTAATAAATTATAGATACCTAAGTGTGACAACAAACTCATGAACTAATTGTTACTTGAATGATGATACATATATGATTCCATCATTATACCTAAGTGGAAATAATCTAGAGTAAGTAGAAGTAACATAATTATGTTATTTTTACTAAATAAACTAATAAAAAATAAATAGACTAATACATGATAATAAAATAATAATATAATAAATAAGATAAAAAATATAATAATAAATAAAAGTTGGTTATTAGAGTCAACACCATATTAATTTATATTTATTTGTATTAATTTATATATTACATCAAATATATTTATATATATTTACAAATATATCTATATATATTTAGTTTTTATTAATTACAAATATATTTATATATATTTGTAAGTGAAAATTTCCTAATAATGAAGTGAAACTAGAAGCTTCTAGCAGAATTATAGGATTAAAATAAATTAACAAAACAACTGTAACAATCAAATTTGACATGAGAAATTAAATACGATTTTTAAGTAAGAAACTTATATAATAACAAAGTTAATTGAAAATTAATAAAATCATTATATTAGGTCAGGTTTTGGAACATGACCTTAAAGATCTATCAATAAGTAACTGCAACAATTACATTTAGATAACATGTAATAATAAGACAGTATAATAAGAAAGATTTTCAAGTTGCATAAACAATATATATAGTTAAATAATTCTTTCATAATTAAATGTAATGACAAGTTATAAATGAGATTCTTTTTTTCTAAATTCATAAGAAATCTACTTTTTATAAATTCATTAGGACAGAATTTACATTAGAAAATTTTTAAAGGTAAATATATACAAATTTATTTGTAATTAATAAAATAAATTATATTCAGATATATTTATATATGCTACCCAAATCTCAAATTATTTTTGTATTTTGGTTACCAAAATTCAATTTTTATAGTATTTGGAATTTGGGATTTAACATAATTTGAAATTTGGAATTTCAGTAATTAGTAATTTGGAATTTGGAATTTGGGATTTGGGATTTGGAATTTAGCATTTTGAATTTGGACAGCACCTATAGATATATTTACAAAAAAATCTAAATATATTTGACATAATATATAAATTAATATGGATTAATATAATTTATGTGAATAAATGCATGAGTAGTCAAATATATTCAGATATTTGTCTTCAAAAATTTCTTGATATAAGGAGTAGGAAGATGGTTAGATAGTAAATTAGGAGATAAGTTATGACTGTATTTGAAAATTCTATTTTATAAGAAGAAGCCATATTGGATTGAGTTCTTAATTAGAAATTTAGGAAGGAGAGATGACATGAAAAATCAAGTATAATAAGCATGAGGGTTCAATTTCTCAAATTGATGGTTAAATCTTTAGTGAGCAAAGTGAAAGGATTGTCATAACTTTTGATCAATTTTAGATCTTGAATACATTGGCCATCTGATTTTGGCAGTATATACATTTTGTTAACTTATCAACAACAAGTTTAATAAGCTTCATTCCCAAATTGAAAGGATAAGTCAAGACTCATTTGGATTATAGGTACCTATGTTAGGAGACCCCTATTTGATTCAGGTCTAAAATATGCTAGTAATGATCTAAGGTAATTTAGTTGCAGAAAAAGTATATATGATAAAAAGTGAGTAATAGGTAACTTGCCTAAGGTGATAAACATGGTTCAAAACAAATTAACATATATATACAAAAATTGAGAAAAGGTCCGCAATAAGAAACCACTCCTAAAAATCAAAGAAAATATGAAACTTAACTTAATAATATAGAATGAGATTTTAAAATTGATAGGTGAAAAGTTATTTCCTAAGGAGAGAAGGAGTTGGGATGATGAAAAAATATTTTTTTGTTCAGACCCAAATTGTTCTTGGTTTGGCGAAGTGTATGTGCACAGTTAGGCCATAGATTAGAAATAATCCTAGCCAGTTTTTATTCTCAAATTTGTATTTTTTATAATAGTTTAAATACTGTTACTAAAATTTATTATATGAATAAAGACAAGACTGCACTAGTTATTTTTTTTTTTTTAAAAAAAAAGTCAATTGCTGATTACTAAAAAGGTGAACAATAAGTGTGAAAAATGTTATAACAATTGATTGCCCTTTCAAAAACTTTTCCACATATTTGCAAAAAATCTAAAGATGTCAACTTTTTATGATAACTTTGACTCTAGAACGTCTAACAGCAGAATTAGCAGAATTAACAGTCCAGAAACTAAAGGTATGTGATCTTTAACTTCATTTCAAATCCCTTGGAGGCAATATAATGACAGTATTTTTTATAGTAGAGAGTGTAATCACCTCCGTTACTTCTATTACTGCAATTCAAAGTTAAAGGTAAATAGACACTACAACTGATACTTCACATCTAATTTTTTTTGGCTAACTAGAGCCATTTCTTTGTAATGATAGTACTTTTGCTGTTTGTAAGCTAAGGAAGTAGAAAGTGCAATCACCTCTATTACTTCCATTACTGCGATTCAAAGTTAAAGGTAATAAATATTACAACTGATATTTCGCATCTAGCTAACTAGAGTCATTTCTTTGTAATGATAGTACTTTTGCTGTTTGTGAGCCTAAGGAAGATTTAACAAGGCTCTGATCATTATGGTGGAAGAATGGAAATATTCATCCAAAAGCCAAGTGTGAGGAAGCTATGTAAGTTTTTTCATGGTGGGCTGGTTATCATGAGCATGACTAATTTTGATTGATTACAACAAAGCTCCTATACGTGCTCGCTGAGAGTGTGACTCTAGACGAGTATGAACGCCACACAGACAAATTTAACATTCATAGTTTATGGAAATGGAAAGATTATAAAGTCGTTATTTATGAGCTTCCATTAAAGCCACATGAAACTTGTATTGCCGCAATTACTTTAGAAATGGTTGAGAAATTCTTTCCCGTTAAAGGAACAAATGCCAGGATTGTAGGCCTAGGAGCAACTCGTAAGTGTTAGTTAATTAACTATCTCGGTTCTATTCATAGTATCAAACTAATATTCTTTCTTAAAGGAACTCGTGCTGATGATTCTGGGAAAGAAGCAGATGCATCATTTCATCCAATGAAACCACGAGCACCAGCACCAACCGGAAGTGACAGAAAGGTACTTTTATTTTTTTATTGGTTCAAAACCCTTTAACATTTTAACTTTACATTTCATAATTTCAGAGTGAACCATGGCCAAATATCATTATAGAAGTTTCACATTCTGAAAGCATAAATCATGTCTTTGAGAAAGTGAAAAATTACTGGCTAAAAGATTATAGTCGCGTACATGACGCGATAGTTGTTAAAATTGATCCTGTTTCTGAGGACGAACCACTTTCACGATTGCAAGTAAGTTATATTTCTTAAAAGTTTAAGTGGCGTTTTATTTCTTGTGTGCTATTCTAAAGAATAAATCTATGTAGGTATGGCATTTTTGTTCTAGGGACAGAACAAGGGGAGAACTTCAACATCGAACTCATGTAAATATAGGAAAAATTACCTTTTCTATCAACTTTTCAAAAATTTTTAATATGAATGGTTTATTATTATTAGTTCGAGTTTTGCACTCGTGATGAAGCCGGGAATCTGTTGAATATTCCACGAGGTGTATGTCTCATCAATATTTATTTGGATTGTCTCTACTATCAAGCATTTCCTGATATCCAAATTCCTCGAAATATTCTCCCTGATCCTATTGTATTGGATTTCTCCTTTGTTCGAGATGAAATTTTATGCACATATCGTATATAACCTAACAGATGGTTTAAATAAACCATTTCACAGCATATTCAAATGTATTCTTATATATATATATCACAATATACGTATAAAATTTATTTAGTAGGTTAACATTGCTGGAAGAATATTACAGTAAATACTCGCTACTGTGCTTATGACATAATGGCAGACCCGTTACTATTGTGCCATGTATTAACCGATCGAGAGATAAAAAAAAGCTAATAAGTCAAACTTTAATAGAAAATGAGTTTAAATACTGATAAAGATAAGTCTTATTTGAGAAGTAAGTTGAAGAAGATTTCTCACGAGTCCGAAGATGAGAGGGTAGAGAAGATTATTAAAAGAATTGATAATCGACTTGCTCCTAAATATCCTCAACGACCAGGAAAGGTAGGCATATCACAAAAAAAAAAATTCATTGTATTTTCATAAAAAATAACATTGATTATTTGTTTGGGTTAAAACTAAGAATTGGGATCGAGCTCAAACGCCTAAATGAACTGACCTCTTTCCCAAGATCCAAAAATCATATGATTTTTTCGTGGTATTTGGAAATTAACAAAAAATGGATGTTCTAAAAAAAGAAGCAAAAAACTATGTTATGTTAAGAATTTGAGATGGAATTTTGGAATTATTTATCGTGTAGAAATTTTTTGAAAACTAACAAAAATTTCTCTCAATCAAACGTTTTAAAAAAATTCTAAAATTTCCAATATTTTTAAATTTATTTATCAAATATTTTACATTTTATTTTATTTCACGTATATAAATTTGTTATTAAATGTGATTTTATACTTTAACTTTGTCAAATTCAATAAATATTGATAATGGGTATTAACTATCTTATATAAATTTAACCTCGGTTTCACAAAGTTTCTTGTATAGAGTAAAAAACTCCTGATTTTAATTATACACTTTGTTGTGTATGCAATATTAAATACCAGAGAACAAAATATAAAATCAACAGAAATCTCGTTATAAGATGATGACTTTGAAATTGTGGAGGAGTTAAAATTATATATTATAATTGACAAAAAAAAATGCTTCTAAAACGTTGATGATTTCACCATTGAATTTGATAATGTTGTTGAAAAATATTCAAAAATCTCTTGGTGGTAAAAATGTCAATATACGCTTCAACACAAAGTAGGGATACAGCAAATACATTGGAGAAACTGATTTTAATGATTTTAGACAAATATCAAAAGATAATTGGCAAAATGGGAATTAGTGTTATTCTCAATAGAATTTATATTAATAATATTCAAAAAAGAAAAAAAATTACATCAAAATATTTTATATATTTAAATTATAATTACATAGGAAATTCCATAAATAATTCACCTTCAGATCATGACAGAAAGAATCAAAGTTTATTGTAAGAAAATAAATCTAAAGTTATTCAAAAGATAATTTAACATTAGAACAAAAGAGCACAAGTGGATAAATGAAAATATAAATGTTCTACTCATCTTACACCATGTTTCATTGTAAATACAAAACATTTCAATTGAGTGAAAATTAATATGTAAATATTTATTATTGATATATTAATAAGTTAAATAATACTGTTGTTTCATCACCATCTGATATATTTTATTTTCTTTCAACAAATAAATGCATACGCCAGATTTTCTAGCTAAATATATTATTCTGAGTTCACCTCTTGTTTGATTTTGTTAAATTTGTAAAATTAGATTTAGAAATTTTCAAAATGAAGCACGTTTGAGCAATCAATTTAACAACTCCAAAGTATGTTAATTATAATTATTTTATAACAAATAATAATTTTATTTTTTCAATTTCCAGAAACTAAAGTTAGTTACAATTATTTTGAAAATTTGAACATCACATGCTAATATGGTTGGCAAGAGGGAGAGAATTTTCACTTTTGTTATTGATTACAAATATAAATATAGGATTAGGACAAGTATCAATGAAAAATTAACAATTAACCATTCAGAAAACGGACAAACACTCATACATATTATTGTAGGATGTTATTGGTTTGACTCCATTGCATCTAAAAATTACACTTAGATTACAATCAAAATAAATTTAATATTGTAAATAAAAATTAGAAAACATATATAAAAAATATTTAATTAACAAAAAAGTAATCCCATGAAAATTTCAAATGCTGTATCACTCAAAATTTGAAAAAATTTTCGAAACAAAAAAGAATGTTTAACTCTTTAAAAACAAAAACCGAGAAAATTTCAAAAATGGGTTGCATTATTTAGTCTTTTTTTTTGATTTTCTTAAAAGTAAGTAATATTATCTTTTTTTATCAAAATTAGTGTATTCTTGAGAATCACAATCTAAAGTTGAGATATTAGAGAATGATCTCTTTGTTTTTTTTTTATTTTCATTCTGACAATTCATCATAACCAATATCAAGAATTTAAACAATTGGTTTATTAGAATTTAATAAATTAGGATCTATAAAAGTATAAATTTGTGATTAATTATTTATAAAAAAATATGGTTTGAATTATTCTAAAAATAATACCTGCACATTTTCCAAATTTTATATCTTCTAATGAATCTTGTAATTCATCAAGAGTAAAAATGCGTCTATCAATATAACAGGATTGAGGATGGACTTTACTTAAAGATCGAAGTAATTTCTTTGTATGAGATCTATTCATTATCTCTATATTATCATCAGCATCTAAATAATCAAAATCCTGTAGTAAATTAATTAATTCATGAACCTTGGGTCGTTTAGAAGGATCACCATTCCAGCATCGATACATCAAATTTAGATACCTATTTGGAATCAAATTTAACATAATATCAGGGACCTTTGGTCTTACACCATTGCATATATCAATCATCAAATAGGTATCATGTGCTTGGTCGGAAAATGGTTTAATTTCAGTAGCCATCTCATACATAACTCCACCAAAGCTATAAATATCACCCTCTTTTGTAAAATCATTTCCTCTTAATACCTCAGGTGGAATAAATGGAATTAAACCAGAAATACTTTTTTTGTTTTTGTTATCAGAGTTTAAAATCAGTTCATTAGTTGATTTACATAAACCAGGGTCTATTAATGCAGCTATTGTAAACGGTTCACCACTACTCATCAAAATATTTTGACTATGTAATTCACCATGAATTAAGTTATTTTCATGCAAAAGATTAAGACCTTCTATTATATGATGTAGTAATTTTATTTTTATCTCCCATTCAACTTCTAGAAAAATATTAACCAAAAAGCTACAAATGGTAAACGGATAATTCCATTCTATAATAATAATGTAGTTTTGTGTAGAAGGATTTTTTGAAATTCCCTTAAATTCAGTAATGCACATAGAACTATTAATAATATTCTTAATCTGAAATATTTTTTAAAAAAAAATAATACGTTATAAAATATTTTCAGCAATAAAAGTTTATAATTGTTTATAATTTAAGTAATTAAAGTGTAAAGAACATACCCCTTTAATAAATTCCAAAATATCATATATATGACCTTTTAATTCCTTCAAAGCAACACTTCCACCATTATCAATCAACCAATGCTGTTTGACAAAATCCCAACCATATTTTAAACAATCTTTTAATTCAGCAAAACACATAGTGTAATGTTCATTATCAGCTACGTGTTCGATATCATGAAGATTATCATAAGGTATCCATTGTAGATTATAATAAAAATCTTTTATTTGAGAATCTAGGATAATCTTATCAATGTCAGCATTCCCGCTAGTCCAAGTTCCAGAATCTTTAATAAATTGTTCTTTAGTGCACATATTACAAGTTCCATTTTTGATATTTATGTAATCCAATCTACGATCATCATAAGAAGTATGACCAGAATGACCAGCGGGACAAAACGTTAATTCTCTATGTAGAGTAGACATTTTGTAAAAATAAAAATGAAAAGATAAATATGTGGTACAAAATCAAATTTAAAAAAATTTTTATTTGCAAATCAATAGATGATGATCAGGTAAATTTTTTAGTCACATTTTTTTATTCATTTTGGTTGGTTGATAAATTATCTAATAACAATATGATAAATAAAATAAGAAAGGTTTCTTGAATTAGATCATAAAAGAAGCGAATTCAGTAAATAATGAAATAGAAAATTAGATATTTTATATTTTTATGAATATAAAGTTCTCGTAATTTAATTTTTTCAATCAGCTGAAATAAAAGATATTAATGATCTTATAGAAGATATTTGGGCTGATGAAGATGAATTAATAATAATAATGAATTAAAGGAAGGTGAGTTAAAGATTAAAAGATGACCAACTAAAACTTACTTACAATGCTATATAGCTATGGTGTGTTTCATCTATTAACCACAATTTCCGAAATTTCATGGTTAAATAACATGTAACTTTTTAGTAGATAAAATTTTTGAAAAGCAGTATTGAAGAAAAAAAAAAAAAAAACAGAAATTGTTGAACATAAAAATTTTTAAAAAATAATATTTTAATTATTATACATATTCTATAATAATAATAATAATAATATGGATAAAATAAAACACAAAAAGTTATTTCAAATGGTTATATAATGAAGTGAAGAAACTATCAATTGAAAGTAGAATTATACTAAGTCAATATGGTACACCAAAATACCGAAGACAACGTATCCAATTGAACCGGAAGTAAAACAACAGCAATAATTATCTGTTAATAAACAAACAATCACTTATATCACGCTTATCCCAATATAATCTAATAAATCAGAAGGAAGCACCAATAATTTCAACGGAATCTTTAACCCTAACCTATGAATCTCTTAAACAATAATCTTTTTCATCACCATCTTGATTTGATATTAACATTTGTAAGATCAGATATAAAATTTGAATTTCAAACACTGGTGTGTAGCTAGTTAATGATACTAAAACTATCACTACCTTGTAGTGATAAAAAGATTTGCCAGTTTAATTTAAACTAATATAACTGGTTAACAACCAATTGTTAAAAGATAGTAAGAGAACTATTAATAACAATAGTCTATTATATTATTATGGATAGCAATAAGCAGATGTGCTGGATTATAAATAATAATTTGCTAACAATTTTCATTAATTCAAACTGGGATTATAATATGCAAAACAGTAATATTTGGATATTTATTATGATAATATAATTTTGTACTGTTTTAACAAGAGGTTTATGATATTAGATAAATATACTTTATTAAATAAAAGTCAATAGATAATTTCAACTATGTAATATTAAAGAACTGTATTATTGTAATAATTCAAACTAACTCTGATCAAATGAAACAGGGAGATTTATAGATGATTTATAAATATGTAAGGAGATCTGCAAATATAGGCTAAGCCTATCTGTACCAAAAATTCATTTAACATGTGAAATTTACCAAAAGCCTTTCTGTTATAAAAACAACTGCTAACACATGATATCAAGTTTTTTATAAACCAAAAGTTATTTTCTTCCTCATAATTGTAGGTGATAATATCAGTTTGGATTCCATTATCTATAATGTAATGATTATATTCTGGTCAACTTTGAGGATATACATACTTATTTTTTCTGATCCATTGTTTCTGGTTTTAATGAGTTTTCATAAACTTTAATGATGACATAAATAATTCAATTTGATCAGACTTTTCAGAAATTGATTCTAGTGAGATGAGATACTTAAAAATGATGCAAAAGACTTTCTAAAAGTTTCTCAATAACATATTTACAATTAAAATGGAACATTTCAGTTATAATTTGTAATAAAGATCCCTGCCACAATTATTTTCATGAGTTGCAATTAGTTGCAACTATTTGCCACAATGTCGCAATGTCACAATTATATCATTAATGTAATTATATATAATAATCATCGATAATTGTTATAGATAAAACTTTTTAGTTTATAAGTAAATATTAAAAATAGTATTAAGTAATCTTAAAGAAAAGAATGAATTACGTATTATATAAAAAGAAGAGATATGTGCCATCAAAAATTAAGAGAACGATTAGCAGTTAAAGCTCGAACGGACGAAAAATTTTAAAATAATAATAATTCGCTCAATTTTAATTATATAGGTCTATCCTTTTAATATAATATGAAATTTAATTTTTTCTTTGAGATTAGTTAATACCGTTTTTAATATTTACTTATAATATAAAAAGTTTAATATGTAATAACATCAACAATTTTGTACTTATAGAATGCCTCTATAAAATTCCTGATGTAATCTTTAAGCAACAGAATAATATAGAGAAATACTTTTTAAAATTCTGAAGTTTTTCAAAATTTCCTTTCCTTTTAGAAATCAATTTTAAAGAAATGTTTTTTTACAAAAATCAAATTTCTATATGATTTACCAATAGTCTATGATAATGTTCACCAGTCAAATTTTCTCTGCTCCATCACAAATAGATCCAAATGTATGAATACCAATGTATAGTATTGATATCATAATATACAGTATAAGTTACTGAATGTCAGATAATTTGGTGTACTTGGGTAGCTAGTTCTTAATTATAATCTGAAGGAAAAGATTATTTTTTGCAATCCAGATTGTAATTCTTTTTCATATGGTTTAATAAATGATTGTAATTCTTCTTTTTCATTATCAAAGTTTAAATAGCCAACATAAAAATTATCTTGTTGACTTCAAAGTAAACTTTTTTGTATTTTGAATGAATCATGTGAAAAAATCAAATTCATCAATATTTTCTATAGCCTTTTCTAAAATTGGTAAGCTGTTTTATTTTGCCATCTTGATATTGTTGATTTTCATTTATATAATTTTTTATTGTAGATATTGAAGGTAATTTTATAATGCTTTTTGCTGTTTCATATGACCTCTTTAACTATAAAATTAAAATAATCCATCAAAATTCTTGAAATATTGAATTTAAAGAAATATCAATAACTTTTTTTTTTTAATTTTATTTGTTACTTTTTGAGTAATTCTATTGATACTTTTTCTTGTAAAGCATGTATTATTCTATTTTGATTTTAAAATAAACAAATTCAACTATAAATAGACTTCTTTCTTTTGTTGGTGAACTTTTTCATTGAGAATTCTAATAATTTATTAATACTGTACAATATGGCATGATTAACTTTAACAGAAGAAATACCAGTAAGATTTCAATTTTAATTTTTATTAAAGTGTCTTTTAATTTTGACAATTTTCACATTTCAGTTATTAATAAACTACAATCAATTCTTCTATATGTTTCATTGGGTTAATTTTTATCACAAAAGATTCATGAATTTTTTCTTGAGTTTGTTTGATTTATTTGAATAAATACCTTCAGACTTTTGTCCATTGTATATTTTGACAAAATGAATAATATTTTCTATATCTGACCAAGTCATCTCAATTGCAACTCCCGTTGCAATTCCATTTATTTCATTGATACTTTTTTCCAAAACATACAATTCACAGGAAATTAAATTTTCATGCCATTTAAAAATCAAGTCATTTTAAATTGTTTGTTCTTTTCCAAAAAGGTAATTTCTATTCCATTAGTAATTTCTCTTTTCCCTACACCAAAAAATTCTTGCTTTGAAATTATATTTGCTTTAGTTAATGACATAACCTCCACGATATTGTTTTGTTCTAAGTATTGATGCTAAATTAAAAGCAGAAGAATTTGTTTCGAAAAAAATTGTAGCTAATGCTGACCGTTCACCCATGAATACTCTTTTTTTTTAAGAAATTTAATCCACGAGGAAAAAGTATTGAATTTTTTATTAGTCTTTTTATCAAAGGCATAAAAAGTTTTATCCTCATTATCATAAATCAAAAGTCCATCTATATACTTTATATTTTTTTTTGTAAAAGAAATAAACTGATTTTCCATTATATTCTGGTCTAACATTATATAATTCTTGAAGGGCTTCGGGATATTTTTTTTTTTTTTTTGAATTTTGCAAGTTGGACTGGTCATTAAATACGCGTTTCTAAAGCAAAAAATCACTTTAAATTAATAAAATTTTTATAAAAACGTTTTAATTTTACTTTGCGTACCATACTTAATAGTCGATAAAGTTTTTTTCTTTATCCCTTAATCCGTCAAGCGGGCAAATTTTCCCGCTAAAACATAGTAGCATGTGAAAACTGACGGTTCAAGAGATAGCGCTAATTTTTTTTTAAAACTGTTAAAAATCACGAAAATCATGAAAATGCAAATCATGCGGATACCGCGTTTTTTTTTTTTCATTATTGTGTAACTCCTCTTACCCCCTTAAGTTCTCTAAATAATGACGATGTGATGTAACCGAGAATAAACAAAACTTTGCATGTTTTTTCATAAATTTGTTTGTCAAACCAAATTTTACATGTTTTTTTCTTTCATAATTTGTTTGTCAAACCAATCGAAGTATATGATTACCAATTTTATCCAAATAATTTAAATTGTAAGTATTAACCTGATTTGTTAGTCTGCATTGCAATTTTCATTTAAAAAAAAAAAAATTTTTTTTATGATTGTAACAGATTATTTATCTTCTTGTCTTTTGAATGAAGGTTGTTTTCATTGACCAACTATTCTCTTTATCTTTGGTGAAGAAAGTTCACGTGATATAATATTTTTGATTTTAATACATAAGTGGCTTCATTGTGGCGCTCGAATTTTTTGTTTTTCGAAAAAAATTATCAATATAGATAATAATGTCTGAAAAAAAGGTGACTAAAAAAAAAAAGTGATCAAATGGTTTTAATGATATAATACAATAATTAATATTTTTTTTTCTTAATACTATTATAGAAAGACCCAGTCTTGTATTCTTTGGCAGCTGGATTAATTGCTGGTGGTATAGAAGCAACAATTACGGTATTTATTTCATAATTATAATGATTCAATCTTTTTTTTTTAAAAAAAAAAAATCGACAGAATTCTTACATTTAATATAAATGGTTCGTAGTATCCAACAGAATTTGTGAAAACTCAATTACAATTACAAGATGGTTCAAGTACTGGGAAGGTAATATCACATCTTTTTTATTTTTTTATTTTTATTCTTATTGAAATGATTAAATTATTAATTTTGTGATAATATTTAAAATTTTAGAAATTCAAAGGACCAATTGATTGTGCAATTTCTACAGTTCGTGCTAAAGGTCCATTTGCGCTTTATAAAGGTTTATCTGCTTTAGTAATAGGTACAGCCGCAAAGGCTGGGGTTCGTTTTTTAACTTATGATCAGCTTAAAAGTCTATTACAAGATAAAGATGGAAAAGTTTCTGGACCCAAGTCAATGCTTGGTAAGTACAGTTTTACTTAATTGTAATTATTGAAATTTTGTAGAATCCAAGTATCATCTAAGCATAATCTAAGTGATTTGTTTTTTTTTTTACCTTTATAGCCGGATTGGGTGCAGGAATGGTCGAAGCAACTTTAGTGGTGACTCCAACAGAAACAATAAAGTAAGTTTTACAATCCAGTTTAAACCTAATACATTTAAGATTCAAATCGATTTTTGTGATATTAAATACAGAACGAAATTAATTCATGATACTACTCGTGAAAAGCCACAATATAAAGGAATGGTCCACGGTAAAAAATTGATGCATAAACTAAACAAAAATAAAAAGATTTTTTAAAAAAATATCATGTGATGAGATTAACTAAATAATCTTTTTTATAGGGATTCGCACCATCGTAGCCACTGAAGGATTAGGTGGAATATACCGAGGATTATTTCCAGTGATGATGCGTCAAGGAGCAAATCAAGCAGTGAGATTTTCAACGTATTCGACATTAAAACAAGAATTTCAAAAATATTCTTCTACTTCACCAGAACAACCGTTACCATGGGCTGTGACATTTGGTATGGGTGCAATTGCTGGTATAGTTACAGTTTATTCTACCATGCCATTGGACGTTATTAAAACCAAAATGCAAGGATTACGTGCTAAGGAATTATATAAGAATTCTTTTCATTGTGGTTGGAGAGTTTTAACCGAAGAAGGAGTTCCTGCATTTTGGAAAGGTGCAACTCCTAGATTAGGAAGATTATTGGTTAGCATTAGTACAACTTTTTTTTGTTTAAATAATAAATTTGATCTGGCAACTTTGATTCAAATATTTATTATTATTATTAATTTTTATTTTTTAGGTTTCTGGTGGAATTATCTTTACAATTTATGAACAAGTTATTGAAGGTTTTAGAAAGTTAGAAAAATTAAAAATGAAGGGTTAAAGAAATTAATATAAATTTTAATGAATTAGATAAAATTAAAATGAATTAGATAAAAAAAAATAATTATTATTTATTTATTGTGATTAATTCAAAATAAAAATTCATAATTTTTATTTTTAAACCTTTAATATTGATATATTATTATTATAATGTAGTAATTACTTTTAATTGGTAAATTACCATTCTAATTAATAAATTATAATTAAATTAAATTACTTAATTATTTTACTTTTCACGAATGTGTTCTCCAATTTTTAATACAGTAATGGGATCACCGACATTAAGGATAATACCTATTATTATTATTATTATTATTATGAAAAATATGTAAATATTATAAAACCCAAAATCTTAATTAACCCAAAATCTGAATTTATTATAATGAATGAAATACCTGATTTGCTATGAATCATATTCATTCCTATATTAAAATACAATTGTCAATTAATTCAATTTAAAAAATATATAAATAATAGAATAATTTACCCAGACAGACATACCAAAACAGGCATGATATTTGGATCCTAAATCCACTCTACGATATGAACTCAAGGTTTTTAATGGTTCCAATTTATTCTTTATTCCAGTATCGGGATTCACATTTGGTACTTTTAAATTTATTAAATTTGTCAAAAATTTTGTTGAAGGATTAAAAAAAAAAAATTGAAATTAAAACAATTAAAACAATTAAAACATACCTGTACATCTTGTTGACCTACAAGCCAAATAAAAGATATTCTCTTTATCATTGCCGATAATAATCTCTTTCCAAGTATCTTCTTCAAATGATTTATTACATCCTTTTACAACTATATTAGGTCTAAAATTTATAAAAGCAACTGGTTCAGATAATCTTTTATTAAGATCATGTAATGACTCTTCGCTCATAATTAAAAATGGATATGAATCAGCAAATGCAGTCTAATGACAATTATAAATAAAATTGGTAAATTAAATTAAATTATTATTATTATTATTATTATTATATTTGTACAAAAATACATGTATGTATATATTGTATATATTGGAAAAAATACCTCAGGTTGAAAATCAATTTCTTTTGGAAGATTTTTTCTAATAATTCTTGTATCTTCATTAGATTTGAACAATAATCCCACTGAAACTTTTAAAAAATTTGATAACCAATTGTCGGGTTCATCACCACAACAATATCCAATAACTTGATCACCCCATAAATTTGTTTGATACTTTTTACAAAATTCTTTTCTGTAAATAATTAATAATAAATGCTATGATTTTAAAAATTCTAAGAATCCATAATAAAATTATAATTATCAAAATGAAAATTAATCAAATTTTTTTCTTACTTTGGCAAAAGTGGAAGATGTAAATCTTGAACTTCTGGAGCCGAAAGTATGAGCTCTGAACTTAATTCATTAATCCTTGGTGAGATAAGGGCAAGCTAACATATTGAAAGTCGATAAAAAAAAAAAAATCAATAAATATTATAGATAATAAGATATATATTAAGAATTAATATAATTAATATCCAAGAAAGAAAGAAAAATAGGATACCTTTGGTAATTCCCTTTGTGTCAGTATTTTATTATTATTTTTATTTATAATTGCCCAGAATCTATCGTATTTAAATCCATATCGATTTATTTCCCAAGAATTTACAGGAATCCCTCGACAAGATTTTACTGGATAAATGCATAAAGAAGATACAAAAATATTATTGCTTTTCATTTTCTAGGATTTAATCGAGATATTTTTTTTTCATCTCTCCTTAACCTTTTTTTGTCACGTGAAACCTTTGTTTTTGTTTGTTTGTTTATTTGTTTACATTTTCCACAACAAAAACAATAAAAAATACAAAAATATAAAAATGACAATTAAATAAGAAGACGACTAACTGGTAAGTAGATTATTTCAAAATGGAAAAATTATACGAACTCGTAAATAAAAAATTGAAGAATTTGGAAGAGATAAAGAGTGAAGGAGTTGAAATATATAATTCAATCGAGAAATATCATAATCAAATTCACCAAAGTAAATAAAATTTTCTTTTTTACTTTTTTTAATTCAAATAATTTATCCCTAGTCGAAAATTATTGAATATGATATTTTATTGAAAATTGTATAGACAAATATATAGCACCTGATGTAAAAGACAAACTTCTGGAATTATATAGAAAAGGAATAAATCAAACTTTTAAGGAGGAGACGTATGATTATAACTTATAATAATAATAATAATAATAATAATAATAATAATAATAATATAGGAATAAATAATCCTCAAATTTTTATTTTCTTAAGGATTGCGTCATCAATATGTAAAGATATAGATGAATTATCAGAATTAATAATAAAAAAGGAAAATTCCTCTCAAGGCAGGTTTTATTATATTTTGAACATAATTAATTTAATTTAATTTAATGATCAAAAGAATAATCAATGATATCATTCAATGATAATAATCATTAATATATTAAATAATGTTAAGTAATATTAAATAATAATAATTATAATAATAATTAATGTTGAATTTTTAAATAGCCAAAATAAAAAGATTAAAAAAACGTGATGCTAAAAGTGCTGGCTTGGAAGATGAAATTAAAAATCAAAAGAAACCCAAAGAGTACGCAATAATAATAAATTATTCTTTGAAAAAAAAAAAAATAACAAAATTTCTTAATTAGCATTTTAATATTTCATTTGTTTATTAGGAATATAATAAAGAAATGGAAAACTGTGAGGATTTTATAATCACCAATTAATAAAGAATTTGTACATAATATAATTTATTTATAATTTATTTATAATTTATTTGTTAGGTTGTAGTAAAAATGCCAAAAGAATTAGATGAAGAAGAAAATTGGATTTTGGCAAAAATCATATGTTTCCATGATAAAGTTAGGGAGTAAATATCTTACCTTAATTATATTTCTCCTAAATTGGTTAAATTGATTTGATTATATTTTTAATTGTTCACTTTAAATAAACAGATATGAAGTAGAGGATATAGATAAAATGAAAAATGAAAAACATGGAAAGTAAGTAATATTCATAAAATCCAATTTTCATTTTCTTCACTTTTATAATTAAATTAATTTTTTAGGCAATTTATGGTGAGCATGAAAAATGTGATTGAACTTCCAGGTCCAGGAGGATATTTACAAGAATTTCCACGGTCACATAGAGTAATTGCATTATATCCAAATACCACTTGTTTTTATAAAGCAAGTATAATAATTCCTCCAAGCAAACAAAATATTCGTACACAATATTATTTGATTTCATTTGATAATGATAATGATGCAGTTAGACATGTTGATGCACAATATGTTTTAGATGCTCCTAATGAACTTAAATAAGAAATAATAATAATAATAATAACAATAATAAAAATAAAACTTAATGTTTTCTGTAAATAAGTTATTATCAAGCTTTCCATTTTTTTTTTTTTTTATTAATATTATAAACAATCAATCCATTCACCAACAATAGAAACAGATTTGCTATCTCCAGCCATTATTCTTTCATCTTTCAATGATTTACCAACACATAACCATGGATCTCTTGATCCACCCCACCTTAAAACCTCTTTTTTGAATAGTTGTCCTGCATCTCTACTTAATGGATCTTTTTCAAATATATCTTTCCATATTTTACCAGCTAACATTTTACAAAAGAGATAACTAAAATATCCTGATCCATAACCATATAAATGTCCAAATTGTATTTGCCATGATGTTTTAGATACTGATGGAAATAATCCTACAGTATCTTGTAAATTTGCTAAAATTGATGTAGTATCAAATGTAGAGGAAGTTGCTAAATTTGAATGATATAATTGATCTAAAAGTGCCATTAATATTTGATATTGAGTTTCCATTGCCGAAAATTGTGAACGTGCATTGAGATGAGAATGAATGAGACCTATTGGCATTGGATCACGAGTTTGATAATGTTTTGCAAAAAGTGAAAGCACACTAGGTGAATAAACAAAATGTTCCATCAATATCGATGGTAATTCTACAAAATCCGTTGGGCATCTTGTACCTTTTAAACAAATAACACAAATAATAATAATAAATAAATATTATAAATAAAAATATTAAATTAAATATTATTTTTTGAATTATTTATCTCATGAGAAACTTACCTGAAACATTGTGAAAATCGGTACGTCCAATCATTGCTTGATAATATAAAAATAATAAAATAATCGTATCAATTTAATTTAATAATTTAATTTAATTTATTTAATTTACTCACAATGCATAGCATGTCCCATTTCATGAAATAAAGTCTCGACTTCTAACCAATTCAATAAACTGGGTCCTTTTGAATTTGTTGGATTTGCGAAATCACACATTAAGACCACTACAGGAAGTTGATAACGACCATTTCTTCCTTTTATTGTTTCTCCTGGTTCAGAGTCTGGTAATTCTCCTAATTCTGTTATATTTAATTCAGTTGAAATGTCTCCCTCACTATCATCATCATCTACACGTCTAGAACATCTTACAGTATAATGTGCAGCATTTTGATATTTTCCAAACCGATTAAAAAGGTCACAATATATTATACCTATTTTACCTTCATTTTCATCAATAACTTCTAGTTTACGTACATCTTCATTCCAAACTTCTCCCGGCATTATTTCAGCTGGCCTAAATGATATACCATACAATCGTGAAAATAATTTTGATAATCCTTGTATGACTGAACCTACAGAAAAATATGGTGAAATAGGGGTTGTAGGTTGTGTTGGTGATGATTCCTTTATTTTTTCAGTATAATAATCTCGATCCCATGCATAAACAGTTGGTAATGATTCACTTTGAATTTCTTGTTGTTTTGCTATCTGTATTAATCTTAGATCTTCAAGAGCTTTTGTTCGATGACGATCTGCAAGCGTTCGTAAAAATGTTTGAACATTCTCTAAATAAAATAAATTTAATAATTAATAAATTAAAAAATTAAATAATTAATTAAATAAATTAAAATAAATTAAATAAATAAATTATATTCAATATCAAAGAATGTGAAAAAATTCAATTTAATAAATTTATTAAAATATTTTGTCAGCATTTTTTTTTCTTACCTGGATTCTTAACCATCTTGTCTATTAAAAAAATTTGACTATAACTTTCCATCCCAAGTAATAAAGCTAATTCCCCCCTTATTTTTAATAAATTTTCCAATGTTTTAACTTGTTCTTCCGTTGCTGAATTTGAAGCAATAAACATCGCCTTTCTAACCTTTTCACTTTTCACATGTTTTAGAACTACTTGAGCATCCCAGGGTTTTGTTGAAATTCTAGCAATATTGGCCTTTTTATTTATGACACTACTAATCTTTAATTCATTAAGAAGAGATGCGTCAACATCTATATAATTAATTGGTCTCTGTGGTTGATTATGTGTGAATTTACGACCTAATGTAATAATTTTATCCGAAAGTTGTACAAATTTTTCCCTTTCTGCTGATGAAAGATGTATTCCGGATTTTTCAAAATCTCGTAAAAAAATTTTTGCTACTTGAAGTTCTTCTGTTGAAAACTTTGAAGAAATCCTTGGTGTTGATATTACATTCTTTAATACCTGAATACGAAACGTAAGATATAAATAACGAATAAAGTGGCCTTAGAGCTATATTATGAATAAAATTATAGTGTGTGTTGGCATTTCATATATTTTGCCTTGACTAATCAAACATGAACTGATCAATATATATATATTTCTTTTAGAAAGTAATTACCTGATATAATTCTGTGTTCGTATTCAAGGTATTCATATATGAATAAAGATGTTCATAAGCCCAATTTGCAGCCTGAGTAAATTTTTGATCAGGATGAGCTGTCCTTGTAAATTCTGCGGTATCGATAACAGAACAAAGAGTATCTGATAATCTATCTAAATTCTTTACAACTTTTCTCAGTTCATCATCAGTATTTGCTTTAACGATTCGTTGCACTAACAAATGTACTCTTCTCAAAGCCTTTTTAGCTGCAACCCGAAAACCATTCGGTGTTGCTAATTCGGGATTTCCGAATAATCCTGTTGGTTTTCGTTTATTGGTTAATGAATTACCGTATTCCAATGCAGCTATTGTCTGGCATCGAGTAACAAAATCGGACCAAATCTCGGGACTATCAAAAATCAATCGTAAATGTTCATTATCCTGATTTTTATCAACGGAAGTGACAAAGTGGAATTCTGGCTTAGTTGTTTGAGGAGGTATAGGTTCAGCATTCGAATTAGCATTATTATGATTAAAACGACGTGAAAGTTTTATTGAAGTCGTTTTTCTCAGATGTGGTAATAAACTATGTGAACCATTTTTTTGAAATTCTTGTACAAATTGCCCGAGAATTCTCTGAATCATTTAACAAAAGACTGGCTTGCATAACCCAAATCGGCTGATTTTTTTATGTTTCTACCTGAACAAACAAAAAACAGTGTTACATAAATAATTTTACCAAATAAAGTCATATATATTATTTTATATTGTATTTATATTGTATTTATATTGTATTTTATATTTTAATTTTGACAATCTTCAATATTTTTTTTTGCAAACACAAAAGCCTGAATGATGATTCAAAAGGTAACCAAATTATCAACCTCCGTGAAAATATGTGACGCAAGATGTTAAACATATGAATTTAAAAGATATGAAGATTAGAAGTAAAAGTATTTTCTCTCAATATAATAATTAAACCTTTTAATAATAAAAATCTTATTATCTATCGGTGAAATAAGTATTTTGGCACATGATTAGCTTATAATTCTTTATCTCTCTTTTACTTCTTTTTTTTTTTTTGAGTTCTATTTGTTTAACAATCTCTCCAACAGCGACACAGTCAAATCAAACCTCTCTAGTTTTAAAATTAGAGAAGTTTTTTAATACACATTCGCGTTAATCTGCAGGATAGATCCGGTTTTAGCCGATAATAAATTATCATAGAAATCCGAAAAATTAGACGCGAGATCGATTTTTTTTTCTTTTTTTCAATTTTCTTAATTAGACGGTAAATTCATTCATTAATGAATTAAATAAACAATCTCTAATTTATTTACAATCTATCCATTTTCAATAATAAACATGTTACCTCGAGCATTTAATAGAAAATTAATAGCACCTTCAAACATTATTTCAAAAAAATTCTCTACGTCCGTAACAAAAATAAACCAATTAATTTCGAAAAATAATATTTTAACGCGAATTCAATCACCGAATTTATCAAAATTAAACCAAATTCGATGTTTTTCTTCATCCTCACAAAAGTGTGATGCATTCTCGTCGTTGGATACTTTTCCACGTAGACATAATGGTCCTTCTAGTCCAGAAATTAAAGAAATGCTTGATTCCATTGGAGTTAAAGACATGGACGAACTGATATCAAAAACAATATCTACTAATATTCTCATAAAAAAGCCACTCTCTTTAGAAGAAGGTCTTACAGAAAGTGAACTATTGAAACGAATAAAGAGCATTGCTTCAAAAAACAAAATTTATAAATCATACATAGGCATGGGATATACAGATACAATTGTACCCCCGGTTATATTAAGGAATATTTTGGAATCACCTGCATGGTATACTCAAGTAAGCGATCCTTCTTTTCTAATCTTGTTTGAAATTGCAGCCAGAAAGAACTTTCGCACAAAAGAAATGACTTTCGTCGGTTTGCAGCGAAACTTTCGACTATGCACAATGCAAATGAACAACTTGGGACTTATTGTTATTGTGCATGATTTACGTCGTATTTTGCTTGCAGTATACTCCTTATCAGCCAGAGATTTCGCAAGGTTTAAATTTTATTCATGAATTATTATTTTATTTTTATTTTTATTTTTATTTTTATTTTCTATTTTAATATTTGTTAATCCTATCGATAAAAATATTTAACAGGTCGTTTAGAATCTCTATTAAATTTTCAAACCATGGTTACCGATCTCACGGGTATGAACATTTCAAATGCATCCCTTCTCGATGAAGGAACAGCCGCCTCGGAGGCCATGTTTATTACCTTTTCCGTTGGGAAACGGGAACGTTTTACATTTTTTATCGATGAAAAATGTCATCCGCAAACTATTGAGTGCATCAAGACACGTGCAGAATGCTTTAATATTAATATTATAGTCGGAGACGCATTGAAATTTGATTTTGAACCTTGTGGAAAAGATTTATGTGGAGTTTTGATTCAAGTAATAATTCAATTTATAATTGAATTTTATTATTATATATGTTGATTTGTATTTATAATAATTTATATCTTTGTCATAATTAGTATCCCACTACAGATGGTTCTATACTTGATTATTCTTCTTTCACCAATAAAATTCATTCCTTAGGTGGTAAAGTGGTTTGTGCTACTGACTTGCTGGCACTTACCATGCTTGTTCCTCCAGGTGAATGGGGAGCGGATATTGCAATTGGAAACAGCCAACGTTTTGGTGTTCCATTAGGATATGGTGGCCCACATGCTGCATTCTTTGCTTGTAAAGAAGAATATAAGCGTAAGATACCTGGTCGTTTGATTGGTGTATCGCGTGATTCGTTCGGAAATAAAGCATATAGATTAGCTTTGCAAACTAGGGAACAACATATCAGGAGAGAAAAGGCAACTAGCAATATTTGTACGTCCCAAGCATTATTGGCGAATATGGCTGCTATGTATTGTATTTATCATGGACCTAAGGTATTATAAAGATTTCAATAATTTTAATTTTTTTTTTTATTCAATACTTTTAGAATATAAGATTCACATTATATTCAATGTATAATTTGTGTAATAGGGTATTAAAGCAATCGCTAATCGTGTCCATAATTTAACTAAAGCTCTAGAAGCTGAAATTAAGAAAATTGGCTATAAGGTTAAAACGGAACATTTCTTTGATACATTAAATATTCATATCGAAGGCGGTTGTGAACAAATTTATCAAAAAGCATTAAATGAACATATTAATCTTCGGAAAGTTGACAAAAATTCTATTGGCATTACTTTGGATGAAACTACCACAAAGGAAGATTTAGAAAATCTCATTCGAGTTTTTGCTAATGATTCAAGTTACAAACCTAATTTATCGGAAGATTGTAATTCTTCTATTCCTGATAAATTAATTCGTACAACACCATTTTTACAACATTCTGTATTCAACTCATATCATTCAGAAACAAAGATGTTGAGATATATTTATAATTTACAATCTAAAGATCTTTCGTTAGTTCATTCTATGATCCCACTAGGTAGTTGTACAATGAAACTTAATGCTACAACGGAGATGATTCCAATTACCTGGCCTGAATTCGCTAATATTCATCCCTTTGCACCAACTGATCAAGTTGGAGGATACAAAATTTTGCTTAAGGTAAATATAATACATTATTTTTATTTAATAGCTATGAACAACTTAATTCATCAGAAACATAATGTTAATAAGAAATATTTTTTTTGGGTAGGAACTTGAGCATGATCTTGCTGAGATTACTGGATTCGATGGTGTTTCGTTACAACCTAATTCTGGTGCTCAAGGAGAATATACTGGACTTCGTATAATAAATGCTTATCACAAATCTTGCGGAAATAAACGTGATGTTTGTCTCATTCCTGTTTCCGCGCACGGCACAAACCCAGCCTCGGCAGCGATGGCAGGCATGTCAATCGTTCAAATTAAATGCGAAAAAAATGGTGATTTGAATATGAAAGATCTTGAGGAGAAAGCTATCAAATATAAAGACCGTTTAGCAGTATTCATGGTCACTTATCCATCAACATATGGTGTATTTGAAACGAGAGTAGTAGAAGCTTGTGAGATTATTCATAAAAATGGTGGACAAGTTTATATGGATGGAGCTAATTTAAATGCACAGATAGGACTATGTAACCCAGTCACCATTGGAGCTGATGTTTGCCATCTGAATTTACACAAAACATTTTGGTAGATATCTTCTTATGTTAATTATTATTATTTTTTTTCTTAAAATCAAAAATTAACTTGGTATCAGTATTCCACATGGAGGAGGAGGTCCCGGAATGGGCCCAGTTGCAGTGTAAGTTTTATTGCTTTGTTTTATTATGAAATATCATTCAATGATCATAAAGGAAAAAATATTGAATCTTTTAATATCTTTAATCCATTATATAGGAAATCCCATCTTGTTCCTTTCTTACCTAGTCATCCCATTGTCAAAACTGGAGGAGAAAAGGGTATTGGCCCTATAGCTTCTGCACCTTATGGTTCTGCAGATATTTTGCCGATTTCGTGGGCATATATTAAAATGATGGGTATGTACATTTTATATATTTATTGAGTTTTACTGAATTATCTATTTGTTAACGTCAATCTTTTTTATTTTTTTATTTTTATCTTTTTTATATATATATTTTTTTTTATATATATTTTATATTTATTTTTAACTTATTAGGTGGAAATGGACTTAAATCAGCGACACAACTGGCATTACTTAATGCTAATTATATGGCAAATCGTTTATCAAACCATTATAAAATTTTATTCACGAATCAAAATGGAATGTGTGCGCACGAATTTATTATTGATTTAAGACCATTTAAAGATAGTGCAGATATACAAGCCATTGATGTCGCGAAACGTCTTCTAGTATGCATATGTTTTCAAATATTTATCAATAAATTCAATAAATTTTTATACTAATTCAACAAATTTCTTTATAGGATTATGGTTTTCATTCTCCAACAATGTCTTGGCCAGTTCCCAATACCATAATGATTGAACCAACAGAGTCCGAATCAAAAGCAGAATTAGATCGTTTTTGTGATGCATTGATTGCAATTCGAGAAGAAATAAGCTTGATTGAGAAAGGTATACAACCCAAAGGTGACAATGTTCTAACTAATTCTCCACATCCAATACAAACATTGATTCAAGACACATGGGAGAAAGCTTATACAAGAGAACAAGCTGCTTTTCCATTGAAATATTTAACACAACAAAAGTTTTGGCCGAGGGTAGGAAGACTTGGTAAGTCTTATTGAACTGTTATTTCTTTTTTTTCGCACTTTGCTAATAAGCGATATCGTTTTATTCTGTAGATGACACTTTTGGAGATCTACATCTGATGTGTTCTTGTCCTCCGATTGAAGATTGGATAGAATAAAAGATTCGAGTTATATTATTAATAGGTTATCATTTATAGATCTTTTTTAATGCGTACAACCTGTCTTTTATTTTGTTAATTAGTTAATTTCGATTTCATTTAATTTGTTTCATTTTAAAATTAATTTATTTTCAATTCAAATTAATTAATTTTGTATTTAATAAAAATGAAGTTCAAAATGTTCAATTTTAAATAAATTAATAAAAAAATGAAAATACAATAATCAGATTCTATCTTTGAATATATATATAAAACGATCTGCAATCTTTATTTTTTTATTTCAATAAAATGAAATTATTTAATTTAAAAGTAATAGAATCATGTGGGTGGGTTAATCGTAATTCTCTAAAAAAAAAGAGAGTATTGGTTTATATTCACTTGTACAACTTTCCTTATTCTAAGATCGTACAGTTAAAAAACAACAATTTCTATTGGTAGATATAAATTCTCATCGAATATATTAATTTCTGAATTCCACACATCACACAAAAGAATTCTTTTTTTAATCATGAATCGATCCAGATCCAGACAAAGTAGAAACATTCGAAATTCAAAACAATTAACAAATTCACCTATAAAAAGTGTACAATCGACATCATCATCCCATCAAATAAAAAAAGGATCCACATCATATAACAAATCAAATAAATCAAAACCAAATGAACTTTCTTCTGAAACAGGAAAAAAACAATTATATAAATCTAATTCAATTTCCACACCACCTATTAGAAGAACTTATAAACGATCACCAAGAAAGACTTTGCTTCAAATATCCAACGATAACAATGATAATCGATCGGTTAAAGAGGAAGTGGACAAAGTAAAGGTATTATTAATTTTGAACTTTAATAACATCTTATAAAGAATGAATTATATTTTATGATTTAGGCAAATTATGAACGAATTTCATTTTTTCTTTTCTATTGATTTCTACTGACATAAAATATTTATTTATTTTTAATCCATCTCTAAAAAATTATTTATTAATTCATATTTATTAATATCAAAAGTTAAGTTTATTATCGAATTTAAAAAATGGTGACATAAGGCAAGAAAACAATGGTAAGTTTGATTTTTTATGTTGATAGCACTTTCCTTTTATGTTAAATTTCATTTTTTTTTTAATACATACAGAAGATGAAATTATGGTGGTAGATTTACATAATTCACGCGTGAAAATACCATCATCATCATCGGAGGTTAGATTGATTGATTTTTTTCTATATCTTTTTCAAATTCTTCATAAAAGAATATATATATATTTAATTTATCTTAATTAGGATGAATTGGAACAACAACAGGATAATGATGTTAAAGTATCAAATGTTCAAAGTAAAAATGGTAAAATTTCTTCTATTCTGATGGAAGAAGACGATGGTCAGATTATTGAAGAATCTAATTTATTAAATGTTAATGTAAATGAAAAAATGGAAGATATAATGAATTCAAATTTTGAAGAAATTGATGGTACTGAATCAGAAAACAATAATATTTCTGAACAAGATGAAGAAAGTGACGAAAGTGAAAGTAATGAAAGTAGTGAAAGTGAATCAGAAAATGAAGATATTACAACGGAAGCGATAGAAAGTACATCACTCAATGGAGAACAAGAATCATTGAAGAATATGATTTTTAAAGATAAAAAAGAGGTAAATTTTCTTCATAAATATTTTATGAATTCATAACTTTATAATTTACATTATGATCGAAATTATAAGTATTCCTTTTTCAACAGATTAGAGATCAGGAGCCAATTCCATTATTATCACGTCCGAATGCTGCAAAACAATTTCGTGATTATTATATGGCACAGATGACTCGAGCCTTTGGAAATGAATTAGATATAATTCGAAAGGTATTGAGTTAATTTTGAATAATTTATTCCTTTTTTTTTTTCTTAATATTAATCAATGTTTAAATTTATTTATTTAATATTTTTAATTATAAAGGAACCTCATTTTGATAGGAATAAAATAGAAATTCTTAAAGAATCATTAGAATCAGGAATAGATTTTTTTTCGGATGTAGCAAAAGAATTAGCATTAGCATCACAAAATAATAAAAATAAAAAATCATAGATGCATTTTAAATTTAATCTAAATAAAATAATTAAAAAAAAATGTAAGAAAATTAATTTATTTATTTAAATTAAAGGAAATAAATAAAATATTTAACCTATAATCTCTCAAATTTTGCTTGTAGAAATTTTCTATCTATACGCAAATCTTTTGCTCTATTAATAGTTTCCCTAGCAACATATTTACCACTAATAAATTTAAATAATCGATCAACTTCAAAAATCTCTCTTAAATATTCTAACGTAAAAAAATATGACATAGTACCATCTTGTCTAACATAAAAGTTTTCTTGTAATTTATGTTGACTATTTGATGAGGCAAATTTTAATTGAGTTTCGTCAAATTGAGCGTAATCACGAAAACATATGATTGCCCCTTTTCTTGTTACCTTTATTTATATGGAAATATTAATAAAAGAAGATATTAATAAATATATATTAATAAGGATATTGATAAAGATATTAATAAAGATATTAAATAAAGATATATTAATATGGATATTAATAAAGATATTAATAAAAATATTAATAAAAGATACTAATAAAGATAATAATAAAGATTCTAATAAAGATATGATAAAAGATTAATAAAAAAAAATGTTAGAACAGAGAAAAATACCTCGGATACATTGCGAATTACACTTAGATGATGTTCAGGAGGTATAGCTGATAACACAAATATAGAAGAAACTATATCTATATTTTGTGATGGGATATAATCTTTCAATTTATCATTAGATAAATCACAAACAAAAGCGTGACATCTTGATTCGTTATATTGTTCATGTTTCTTTATATGTTATATGAATAGAAACAATTATTTAATAATATAAAATTTATTAATTTATATTAATTTTAATAACATTAAGTATAAAAAAATTACCTTTACAAATTCGATAGCACGCACAGAGAAATCACATGCATAAATAAATAACTTTGAATTTGTTTCTAATACAGGGAAAATGAAATTTCCCACACCACAACCTAATTCTAATACATACTTAAAAGAATTTTCTTGAGAATCATCAACGTTAAAAGATAATTCTGTAAATTCTCTACCAATCCAATTTCTATTTTTAAAAAAATTCGTGGTATTTCTTTTATAAAATAAATCCCTATATGTGAATCCGAAAAGAATATTTAAACTTCTTCTTGATAGATAATTTTTTTAATTATGATACATTTTACTAACCAATTTTTTGATGCTTCTTTTTTGTATTTATCAACCCAAAATTTCGGAACTGATTTTTCATCAACCAATTTATAAGAATTTGATGTATCATCAACTATTTTATGAGAAGAAAAATCATTATCATTGTAATTATTGGTTTCCATTTTATATAATAAAATTTTAGGAAAAAACCAAATAGGCTAAAATACATATGTAAAGATCTTGGAAATCACGTTACACATGAACATCGGAATTTACTGCTACGAGCTATTTACAATATTAGACTCCCTCAGATTTAACTTTGTAAAAATGACGACATAAAGAAATGACGAAACAAGAAATGACGAAACAAAAATAACGTAATTATTTAAAAGATTCTCATAGTCCCATGATATTAAAATAATATAAATAGACCTCGTTGATTTCTATATTTATCGTTACAAAAAATAAAAAATATGTTGAGAATTTTAAATGTGAAAACTTCATTACTTCAAAATGCTAGTAGTAAAAACACGATTATAATTGCCAATGTAAGAAATTATGTACCACTGGGAAGGTAATTATTATTTTTTATAATTCATTTTTTGATTTTTTTTTCTCTTCTGAAATCGGATTGGTTAAAAAAAAAATGTTTTAAAGTCATATGTCAGATAATGATCCAGAAACTCTTGAGCGTGAAAAAAAACGTCTTTTATCTGGTACGAATGAATCATGATTAAGGGATTTTCATTTTGATCATGTGTTGAATTTTAAATCAAATTTTTTTATTCTATAGGAAATGTTAAAGGAGTCCTGAGAAGTGCTCCAGGATGGAATGAAATGTTAGCATCAGATAGCGAAGCTGTGGTATGAGAAAGATAATTTCACATTAGTAAATATAATAGAAAAAATAAAAATTCCTTCATTTATATATATAACTTATTTAAGATTAAAGCCGAACGCGAACCTGAATCCTCCTTCCATGAACTTCAACAAGAATCTCTTACGGCGTTTCAAATTAGACGAGAAAATGATGAAAGTGATGTTGTGGGACAAATCAAGCAAGAAATAAAGAGAGAAATGATAGTAGATGATGAGGTTGTTGAAGAAACTTCTGAATATAAAGAATATATTGGCCACAAAAAATAGTGTCCTTATGTTCATTGAAAGTCTTATTATTATTTCTTCTTAATTATATTCTTAATTATATGTTTCTTATATGTAAAAATGTAACCCTAATTTCAAAAACAATTGTTTTAATGCTAAAACTTCAAATTTCTAAGATTAATATCTTCAAAAACAATAGTCAGTTTATAGATACTAAATTAAATATTAAATCAACCTTAGAAATTACATTTTTGGTATTCACTATGTTGTCTGAAATAAATTTTATATTTTACTCAATTCAAAATTCATTATTCTTTCAAGAATAAGGTCGAAAAGATAATTACATCCTGCTGAATGTTTTTATTTGATATCATATTAACATGGCAGCATTATTTTCATTTAGATTGATATATCTTTTTAACACAATGTTTTCTAAATACTAAAGTATCTGGTAATATTTTAACCTGTGTTAACCAATATTATATTGTAATAACTACTTTTGAATTGAAGATAACTGCTGGAATTAATGTATTATAGCAATAGTTAACTGTAAAGTTGCAACTACCCTTTAATTGTGGAAATGCTTTTTTTTTTTTTAATTCAAATCGATTTTGGGTATTGCTAAACTCACGGTGGTAATTCGCACCACCAGGCTAAATTTTCTTCTAGTGCTGCTACTACGGCACCAGTTTACTGATCAACCCCAACTTTACCCACGTAAATTTAATTTTGCCCAGTGGTGACAATCACTCTAGCAATTTTCATCGATTTTATGTAATGTATTTCTCACACATTCAAAGGTTCTGATTTCAAGCTTTAAAATGATCTTTTAACATTAATATTCAAGTAATTGTTAAAAGACAATACTTTTAAAAAATGACTTCTGATTGATTTTACACAACAGGGAGAAAATTTTCTATTTTTAATATCATTTGAAAGTTTCGATATTTGTCAAGTTATTGCTGCTTAAGTTAATTTATTAAAATTAATAATAGATTAAGGCACTGGGGGAAAATTTATGAGGTGGAATTTTAACACCATCATTTTTTATGTATATATACTAGAATATCTCAACGAGTACTGAGATAAAACATATCATATTGTAGTTAGAACCAGGTTTTCTATTGGTACCAGAAAAAAAATTTATGTAGTTGCATAAACATTCAAGTATACTATAAATAATATTACTTAATTTTAACGACAGATAAATTCCATTTTTTTGGCTTGCTTTTATAATTTATGCAATTTTTTTACACAAAATATTTTTATTTTACAAATTATTCTTGTCCGTTTTGCCTACTCACAAATCATTCTTGCTTATTTGCAAATATTTTCATCAAAAAATTGTAAACAGGAAAGAATGATCTGCAAAAGAGGTTATATAGAATTCTAATGATTTATGTCTGCAAGGGTTTGATATTCTCTGCATACATTTGACTTACCAATCCCAGTTATACTTTGTGCTTTAAGATGGAAATTCTTGAGTAGTATCATCATTAAAAATTCTTGTTTGACAGCATGTTAGCACATCCAGTTATCCCAAAGCCTAAATACGCACTGCATATCTTTCTTTGAGATTGGACACTTATACTGTTAGTAGAACGAACTAAATCCGTGCAACATTTTTCACGTGCCTGCAATAAAGAGAGCGATAAAAACTCACATGAATTAATATTTTAAATAGAATAAATTTTATTTTAAAATAAACATTAATTTATCCAATGTCAATAAGGCAAAAAAAAAAAATTAATAATATTACTGTTGATGCTATTATCTGAATACCTTTCATTACAAAAGTAAGGTCCTTGATGTCTTGTACAGGAAATACGTGCCAAGATTGAGATGACAAGAAAAATAGTTAATATTATCATTTTTTTCTCTTCCTAGAATAGCCATAGGAATATTTATATGATAATACTCTATGAATGCAATTTTTTTTATACATCCTGATTCATTGAAGTTCGCAAATGAACTAACTTTAGTCCAAGTCACGTGTTGAACCTTTCTCAATTCACTATCGCTGAATAAAACCTTGTAAAATTAAATCAATTTTATAAAATTTTTTTAAAGAATTTCAATTATTATATCTTTGTCTTTCTTGCATTACTTTAGCATAATTTAACAAGATATGAAATTTATAATTTTTATCATTATTTTATTATAGTTTAGGAAGTTTAGGAAAAAGGTTTAGGACCAAGATAAAACTCAATAATCAAAAATGAGTAAATTAACTGAGTTTTCGCTGTATCCATATGACAATAATTGCCCGTCGATATTCAGTGTTAAGTCCGTCGATTATTTCATTGAAAGTGAACTTGGTAAAGTACATTAATCACGTGTTGTCCTTCCTTTCGGCGTGAGAGCTAGTTAAGGCTCAAGAAACAAAGCCTACGAGAAAAATTTGCAAAGATTGGCATGGGAGAAATAATATAAATTCGAACGAAATTCTCTATAAGTTAACTATTTACCGATTAGAACAGGAATTGCAAGAATTCGGAAATCAAAAAGCATTCTAAATATGAGAAGTGAAAAAAATAAGATCAAAGATAAACGTCAAATAATTTTGAATCATAATCAAATTAATTTTAATTTACAGAATAACAATCGTATAGGACAATTTCGATCAGTGGATAATATATTTTAAAGTATTTCTTTACTTAAAATTAGAACTAATTTTATATAAAATAAACATTAAATTTATTCAAACGTTAATAAGGCGAAATTAATTACATTACATATACGACTACGATTAATGAAAATTATAATATTCAGTCTCAAAGAATTTATCAGAATTTGTAAATTTATTATGAAATGATGCGTTACTCTATTTTATAGATTCTTTGAAGCTCAATAATTAAACTTTTTCTTTTTCTTTTTTTGTTTATTTTCCAAAAGGTTTACTTGATACAATAAAATTAAGTTTAGTTCTAGGCTTTAAATTCATCAAATATTCGAGAATCGTCTTGAAGAATTTTACATGATATCATTGGCAGATATTTAAAAAAATACAAATATACATTGAAGTTAATTATAATAAATTATTCTTTTTCCGCATAATTATAGTGAACCTTCGAACTTATTACTATTTCTTTAAATATCGTATGCATCCTGACCTCATAAGTTGCATTTTGAGATTAGATCAAAAAGATGTAAATATTATTTTTAGATGTTATAATAATAACTTGGACAAATCAATTTTTAAACTATTGAATTGTACCAAATTGGTGATCAAGTCTATTGAATCCTTTGAAATTAAAAATTCATTTTCGAAAGAGAAAATCTAAATAAGGTTTGTAATTATAAATAATTATTATGACATACATAAAAATCATTAAATTTGGGAATTACATGATGACCGAATTATTTTTCAGCCCAAGCCGTATTTGGTACATTTGGAATCTTTGTCACATTTAAACAGGATTTCTTTTATTCACACAGAATAAATAAATATAGAACAATAAGTTAAAGTCCATATAAAATTAATATTATTTATATATTAGATTTCCAAAAAAAAACGAAATTTCAAAGGAATTATTAATTGTGACACATTCAATTCTCGCGTTTTTTCTTGCATTATCTTTGCATAAATGTGAACTTTTTAAACAAAGAAATTTTGATAAATTTTATTATTATTCTATCATATATCTTTAAATTGCCAATTTACGATCAGAAAATATACCAATCATGTTTAGAGAGACAAAAAGAAGGTTTGTATTTTATTGATTGAATATATTCTACATAATTAATTCGAAGTAAATAAAAATGAGATTTAAAACCATCTTACCGCTAATTTAACAAAATGCTGCCATTTGCATGTCAAATGACACGTCATGCATTATAATTCAACGTGATCTCGACATACAAAAATCCTAATTAATATAACATTATTCCACATGCATTATAATTCGACATACAAAAATCCTAATTAATATAACATTATTCCACAAAAAAAAAAAAATAAAAAAAAAAAAAAAAAGTAAACAAATATAAAAAAGTCGAATTTGAATTGAAATTATTATATAAAAAAATTGATGATCAATTATCTTTAATTGTTTTTTTATCACAAAAAAAAATACATTGAACAAATAAAAGATTCTTGTAACACATTGTTTTATGCAGGAGGTTGAATTTTTTTTACTTTTTTTATTTATATTATTTTATTTTATTTTACTATTATATTATACCAGATAGTTTTTATCTTATCTTTGGTGTTACTGATCGTAATGATCTTTTAATTTGACAAATTGACAATCAAACAAGAAAACGAGAAAAAAAAATGAAATAAATTTCATTGAATGCAATGTAAAACTTTTCTATTATTGAATGAATGAATGAACTAAAAAGATAGGTAGTTTAATAAGCATGCATTATCTTTGTGTTATATTTATTATTATTGTTACTAAATTTATTCTATTTTAATAAATATATTTCATAAACATTTAATCATTTTTAGTCACAAATAATTTACGTGCGTTATCTTTAACGAAAAAAAAAAAATTCAATCTTTCGGATCTAATCAACGTAACGTTGGAGATGCACGATTCCATTCACTGGGGAACGATTCGCTGCGTCAAATCTGATTCAAAAAAAAAATTTTATACATAACCTTAGATTATATATCCTAAAAAAATTCTGATATAAAAATCTATACACGGAAAAAACAAATAAATAAATAAAAACCTCTTGATTATTATTTATATATATTTATTTTTGATAGATAGTTGCTGATAATCAACATTCGTAATTTTAAATGTTCGTTCGAAATATTCTTTCGTAATCTTCTTTCAGAAGAATAATAATAATAAATAATAAATAATAATAATAAAATGTTTCTTTCAGACAAAGAACAAAAACAATAAATTTTAAATGGAATTATAATAAAGGAATTATTATGTTTATTAAATTTTACTCAAACCCAATCGTTTTATTTTTATCCCTTATTATTAAATAGTTATTCCGAAAATTTTTAATCACATTCATTGTCACGATTTTCTATTTACTTATCTTTGCTTCCAATGATAAACTTTGTAATACATTTTTATTTTTATCATTTGTACTTATGTGATTTACGTAATTTAAAGTGATAATCACGATATATGCATGAATCGCGCGCGTGGTTAAACACAAAATTGTTGACACGTTTCTCTGGTTTCCTTTTAATGAATAATATTTAAAAAAAAAAACATAATTACAGCATCAGGTCATTTTCTGGAAAAAATTTTTGACCAAATTCGTCAAAGCGTGTCAATAATTACATATGTGTTTATTTTAATTTTAAATAAATTCTAGAAATTATTTAATTTGTACTTTGTTGCGTGACCTTGTACGTTAAAGTTTACCAGATTTCTTTGTCATTACCAATTTTCTGTGCTATCTGTGCTCTTTTCTTTGTGTTTTTGTTTTTTATATTTTTTTTTTATTTTTCGCTGAGTTAAGGAAGAATTTCTCATTCGATCTTAGTATTTTTTTTACCTTCCATTTTTATTCAATTTTAAATTTTAATTATAAAAAAAAAAAAAATAATAATAATTTGCAGAATTGATTTGTTTGTTTATTCATTCTTATGATATTTGATTTTATGAAATTCATTTAACGATCAAGCCAATTAAAAATTACTCTTAATTACCAACCAACCCATGAAAGTGTAAAAATAATGATAATCATTTAAAATAACTTTTATTACATGATTCGTCAATAATTAAATTAACTTACATTTATATTTTTAAATAATAATATTCATTATTATTATTGTTATTATTATTGTTATTATTATTATTATTATTATTATTTATTATCGTAACAAATTTTAATGTTCTTATTTAATTATTTCATTTTAATTATTGATTTAATTTAATTTCTAAATTATAGGATAAATTCAAACCGAGATAAAGATTCCCGTGATATTTAGATCATAATGATTCGAGAATATAAAATAGATTTTTTAACAGTTCATTTTAGTTCGTAAAATTTATTTTAAATTAATTCCAATTCAGGTAAAATCAATGATCTAAGCGTTATTATGTCATTTAATTGCCTAAATGTCGATGTGGCTGATTTTTTATTATTATATAGCGATCAAATTTACCAATAAGAAAATTCTCGATTCTATATAAAGTAATTTTTATATCTCAAAGTTTTTGTTTATATGCTGACAATTTTTTTTTCAATGAATTTGGAAAAAGCATCGTGTGTAACGATAAAGATTCGGATGATAATAATAATCAGGTTTTTTAAAAAATTTCTCTATTTCTCTTCTCTTTCACAACATTAAAAAAAACTATTATTCTTTTTTTTTTGTAACCCATAAAGAATAATAAAAGATGTAAGATTATAAAAAAATATATAAAATAATGAAATAAAATTTAAATATTGAAAAATATAAAGATATAAAATAAAGAAATAAAATGCATAAAATTTAAACAAAGAAAATACCATGTTAAGAAATACGATTTTCACAGCTGAAAATTTTCTAATTTTCTAGAATGTTAGAATAAATTATTTTTAGAGATGACGAGATGACATTATTCGTCCACTAACCGACTACGATATAATCAAATGTTTGTTATATAACGTGGCCATATGATAGATCAAATACATTCATTATATTTCTAAATGTAGCTAGAGAATATACAGAAGAAAATATTTAGAAAATAGATTATCCTTCTCATCATATTTTTTCTTTAGGGGTTGACATCTGTTTCTTTTAGTTGATCATGGGTTATTTGTTTTTACATACAACTTTATTCATACTTTTTTTTTTTTAAGCATTGCATTATTACATTATAAAAATGACATACATGATTCTGCAAGATAAGTAAATAAAGTTTTTTAATTGATTGATTATTGATTAAAGATATTCCTTTTTAAAAAACTGCGTTATAAATAATATCTAAATAAAATATAAATAAAATATAAATAAATTAAATTAATATGCATATTGCTTACATTATTACTTATTACTGAATATTATTCATTGTTAAATTTTATTAAAGATATGTATTATAAATATAAATAAATAACTACTAACAAACAATATTTCCGTTACCGTTATCTCTAAGTATATATTGATAATCTGATATACGATATACAATATATATACAATAAATATACAATAAATATTTAAATGCATGTATTGAAATATTATGATCAGGAGAACAGCCAGGTGAACGACCAGGTGAACAATAATTCTGTTTAGGTAAAATCTTATAAGTTTGTAGACATTGGTTTGTCAATAAATAATTAATGATTATTGTGTTTGGTACAGGAATAATGAATAATAATAATTATAATAAGAGAAAAAGAATGATTCTTTTAATATTTTATTTTATTTAAAGAACCTATAAACATGGAGTATAATTGTGTTCAGCAGTTACAAAGAATGCAAATATGCAAAGATAAAAAAAAAAAAAATCAATTTTATCATTTAGGAGAAATATATACGCAATGATATCTGTAACAATTTATTTTAAAAACTTATTCTATTATTCTTCTTACAAATAGTCCTGACCGATTTTTTGAGTTTATTTTTGTGAGTATCCTAATTAGTATAACAAAAAAAATAATACTTTCTGACCAATTCAATTAATAATTAAATATACATACTTTTTTATTTTTTATTCTCATTTTTTCTTTATTTTTTTTCACTTTTATATATTATTTTTGGGAAATTAATGTAAATGGTCAAATAGAATAAATAGAATAAATAAATGGAATACAAACAGAAAATAAAAAATAATAGTTCGGATAATTTCTATGTAATATTTATTTTATTATTTTTTTTTTATTTTTATTTTATCATATTTTTTAAATATTATATCTTTATTAATTTATTAATCTTTATAAATCGGAAAAATAAATAAAAGGAAATTATTATAATTTAAATTAATTTATATTAGTTATTTTAATTTATATTAATTTATACTAATTAATATATTTGTAATATATAAATGTAGTGCATATATCTTAAAATGTAATATTATTTAAAAAAATTTTTGATTTACCAGACTAAATTAAAACAAATAGCAGTGTGTGCATGAAATATATGTTCATTGTGATAAATTATTATTTTTCTGGGTATTTTATTAATAAAAAAGGATTATATGTTTACAAAGCAAGGTATGTGTGTAAGTTAAAACTATAACCAGATCTACTTTGCGTAATGAAAGAAGAAAAATGATTTACTTATCAAAAATGATAAATTTTATTCTGTATATAAAATTTCTATTAATAGATTCAAATGGTGAATGATGTGAACTTTTGACGAATATGTAACAAATCCTCGTGACATCTTGTTATGTGCGCAGTAAATACTTTATTCCTTTTTCTTAAAAAAACTCCGATTCAAATCGAAAAATCGGAAAAGCATTATTTTCTGTATTGAAAATTTAATAAAGAATGAAATCACAAAAAAAAAATCCTTTTTTTTGAATTTCTTGAATCCAAGTTTTTTTTAACCCCTGGTATTGCGCCCTTATTTTACATTTTTATTATTATGTCATTGGAGGATCGAACAAATGAAAATTAAGGAGGGAAAAAAATTAGATTTAAATGTTTAAATTAAAATAATTAAAGCAAATAATTATTTATTTATTATAATTATTCATTATTATTTTATTATTAAGAACAGATTCAAATATTCCCAATTCCAATTCCAATTCCAATTCCAATTTTGATAATTAGGGAAAAAAAAATGACCAAGGGGAAATTAAAAATCCAAAAAAGATGTTATTTACTATAAACTCCCCTAAGAAAATCCTCTTCTCCTAACAGTCTAGTTAAAAATTAAATTTTATTATTTTCTTGTTTTTCGATTGACCGTTTTTTTTTTTTTTTTGTAATAAAAGGGCCATGTGAATTCAATTCTTCCCACAAAGGAATAGGTCACTACTATGACGTATCCTGCATATATTTGTTCTGTGAATCACATTTATATTATTTTATATCACACAATTTAATGTATACAATATAAAAAAAAAAAAATTCTTATAAATAAGGTTGTTTCCCTCCATCAAAAAAAAAACCAGAATCACTAAAAAAATCTTTGGCAGAGCTTAGAACAAATATATATATATAATTATGCTTTATCCTCAATACTTGCCTACTTCTCAACAATATCAAGAACCCAATAATGATGATTATTCAATGCTAAAAAATCATCACCCAAAGCCAACATTGGTCTTATACAATCATCTTCCGAATCAAATTACTCCTTTGGGACATCCAAATCGTTCTTGCGCAAGTTGTAAGAAAAGAAAAGTTAAATGCGATAGAAAAACTCCTTCTTGCACCGCTTGTCAAAAGTCAAAATACAAATGTCATTATACTTCTTATTCACCACCTGTTTTCAACGGAAGTGAACCACAAATCTCCAATGATGGGGATGAAAATAATAATAATAATATTAATAGAGGTTTAAGACAAGATCCGAAATTACCACGTCTAATTGTTTCTTTTGTTCCTAAGGTAAGATATCATCATCTTAAAATTTATTATTTTTATTATTATTATTATTATATCCGAACATATTACAGAGGGAAAGATTGTGAATGATCACCCTAAAAAAAAATACCTAATTGAATTAATCCTTTAAAATTTAGGATGGATTCTTTCACAAAAAACTACATGTTTTTTTTTCTCGAATATAGTCTTTAATTTCATCTTTCCCTCTTTTCGTCCTTCCTCTTCTTTATTTATAAATTTATTCATATTTTAATTTTTTTTTACCATTTTTACAATAAAATATTCGTTTTTAATTAGTGTTGTGACCCCGATTATTACTCAACCCTTGGTTTCGCTCCACAACAACATCAAGAACCTTATTATTTGGAGGATGATATTTATAATAATTTTAATAATCCAATGATCACCACACCTTCCGAAAAACTTATTTTGCCAACAACGCCGGTGGAACAACAATCTCACTTATCACCTTGTCAACAACAACAATTCTCTCATCATAATCAAGTTCAACAAGAATTTTATCATAGTCCTAATTCTTACCCCATTTCACCACAATATCAACATACTCAGCATGTGCAACATACACAAGCACAATCGCCCTTCATGAACTCGAATGTTATGATTCAACAAGGTTTGACAAAAAATTTCTTTTTTGATTTTTGTTTATTGATTACTAATATTATTTTATTATTAATATAATATTATTAATATAATAATACTTTAATGAAATATTATTAATAGTCTTTTTTTTTATAAATAAAAATAATAATAATAATTTTTATAATTTTTTATTTATTTATAGTTATGGGAAGTTATGTTCCATACATGCAAGCAACTGTTACTTTGAGTTACAACTTGAATGGAATGCGTTTATTATTAGAACCTATTATTCTTCCTATGCTTCAAGCAATGGCTAATAATAGTAATAATAATAATAATAATAATAATAATAATAATAATAGATCCGGAGTAATTTTTCCTCCAACTGGATTCGCAGATATTGCTCATTTACAAGAATGGCTTAAATATAAATTTATGAAACAAGAATGGAATGATGAAACAGATAATATATGCGTTATTGATCCTGACGAGAAATTTGAAATTATGGAATCTCCTCTTTCACCACAAAACATCAATAACTTTTCTATTCAACAAAAATTTACGGTTATCCTTCATAGACCTGAATATTCTTCCTCACCAATAACAACTAACAATAGTGATCATGATGATTTTGAACATAGTCAATATAGTGGAGAAGATGATACTACGGATTTAGATAGTCATGCATCCTATAATAGTAATATAGGAGGTGAAGGTAGTAATAGAAGTAGTATGGTACTTGAAGTTGATCATACAGATATATTCTTTAACAAAGTTTACGCCTTCGTAAGACGATTTATTAAAAATGTACCATGGATACGAGAAAATTTCGCAATGCATCTAAGGCCACGTGGTATTAATGGAATTCCTTCTCCGATGGGATTTGGATTTAGTGAGGTAGCATTTTCTGATGTAACGGTGGAAGTAAGAAGAAATAATTCGTTACCATCAACTCCTTATACAAACAGAAAATTTAATAATCCTGACGAAATAGTAGCTAAAGGGCGAATGATTGTCTCATAACCGTTTTTTTTTTTTTTAAAAAAAAAAAAAGGAAGTAATTTGTTATTATTACTGAGTCATATAACCCTACATAATTATATAATATAATATAATATACACACATACATATATATATACATGGCAAATATATATATATAGAAAATTGGCAAAATAAAGTAATCGTTGATGACAAACCTAAAAGATGTAGAATTTTGATTTCTACTTGTTTCCAGAAATCTCTTGTCCTTTTAGACAAAAACAATTCCCTTTCTCAAAAAACAATTCCCACTCTCGTTTTCGTTCCATGATTTCCTTCCATTAAAATTAGATAAAAACCGGCAAAAAATTCTCGACTATAAAAAAATAATAGGCAAAATCTCGATATAAATCTGATGATAAAAAAATAAGCACAAAAAAAAATTTTTCCTTTCGCATTTCTGTTTGAAAATATAGGATGATGTTTGTTGGAAGTATTTTATATATATATATATATATTATATTAATATAATTATGAGAGACCTACTGTAAAAAAATGACAATTAAAGAGCTTTTTGGTTCTATATAAATACCAGACAATAATAGTGCTAGGATGTAAAAAGCGCTTTAGATTTTTTTTAAAAAAAATAGATGAATTCAATTTTTCGTTATTTTTCGATTTGATTTTTTTTTTTTTGCATTCACATATCACTTACATTCGTTAACTTCTATTACAATAGAAACATTCATTCACTACAATTTGTAAATACCGATTCATTTTTTTTCTCCATTTACCAGATATAATTCCCATTCACAATATATAAAATCATCGTACACAATTCACAATTCACAATTCACAATTCACAATTCACAAATAACACAAGAAATAATTTTTCCAATTGTATATATTAAATTATTTCATGATAAACAAAGTAACAAAATATTATTGCACAACACAAACAAATTATTCACGTTTTTCTTTAGAATTTAGGAAATTTCGATTATAAATCCTAAAATGAAGTAGTGTTTGATGATGTCACATTAATTGAATATTAATCTAATAGTAAAAAAAAATATATAATATATATGAAAATCTAATGATATTTAATCTATGAACTAAGTAATTCTTTTCTAAGGTTTTTTTATTGACAATACAATACAATATAATACAATACCTGGTAAAAAAAAACTATATTTAATTCATTTTGTTGTAAATTCATAAAAATAATAATTATAAATCATAATAATCATAATAAAAAATTAAATCGAAAAAAATAATTTGCTTAGAGAGTTGAAAATGATATTATGAAAATTTGTGATATACAAGTTTCATGACTTTATTAATTTCATGGCATCATTATCTCATGTAATTCTGTATTTGCTTGTGATTTTTGATTTATGAGTATAGTATCGCATCGCATCGCAAAAAAATTGATAAATTGACAAATATTTTAACAAATTTCAATTTTCACAAGAAAATGAATAACAATAACAGCAGCTATCTTCAAACTTTAACTTCTTACTTCCCTTCACCTTATTATCTATATGCCTTTGTTTTCGATGATGAGAAATATAACCCTATGCTTAAATTTCTCTTACTTGAACTCTCACCTGTTATAACAATTCTTTATCCTACCTTTTATTATCTTCTTCCATCTAGCGTTCTTAATTCCTTAGATGATGAATTCATGATAACTTTAATTTCTCCAATAGTATTACATGTTAAACGACCTGAATATCATTACCAGGGAATAATATCATCGGCCACATCAATAATATATAGTAGCGCGTGGTTATTGTATTCTCAATTTTATGGAATCGTTGAAGATGAGAAAGAGAGAGAAAAGTCACTAATATCAGAAAAAGCAAAGTATGAATTGAAAATAAATGAAGATTTCTTGAAAAATATAAAAAATATAGAAGAAGATATTGAAACTTTCGTTCCAGAAACTTTGATGGATGGATTCAAATATTATTATTCGGAACCTTTAGAAATGAATAAAATCAATATATCAACAATTGAAGAAAATGTCACACCATTAGATCTTTCCGAAACAAATGAATTTACTAAAAAGCCATCACCAGAATCTTTCACTTTAAAGATTAAGACGTCACCACCTACTTCCCGTCAACCCAAAGTTATTGCATATGAAAAAAAAAGAAATCCGAATCGAAGAATATCACGAAAAAGATCTTCATTATTAAGTCGAAAATATTCGCGAGGATCAATTCGACGAAACAAAACCAAAGAAAGATCGCAAGAGAGAAAAGTGGATGTTGTTACAATAGAACCACGACCAATTGACACGGAATATAAAAAAGCATTACAAAATAAACAAACAACAAAACGACTTTCAAAGAAATCATCAATCCGTAGGAAGTCATCGCATACGAAACGAAACGTTACATTTTCATCAGATTATAATGAACCATCTCATATAATAGTGACACCTTATGAAAAACCAAAATCTCCGAAACGAAACCCAACCAAAAAGCATTCATTATTACGAAGAAAAACTACATTAATGATTAGTAAAGAAGCAAATTTTGTACAATTTGATTATTCCTCAATTTTAAATGATTTAAATACTTTTAACTTAAAATCCTTTGATTATTCTCGAATACTTTATGCGTTCATAGTATTCCCACTTTATATCATAATAGTTATCCCTTTAAATGTCATACTTTATTCAACTCTTGCAATTTCAGTGGTATACCTTTTAAAGCAACAATGGTTTGATGAAGGTAATATTATACAAGATCCAATAAAACGAGAACGTTATATAAACAAAACAAAATTAAGTTTGTTTGCGTTATCAATTTTCTTTGCAATTATGATAGGATTTGTAGCACCATTGGTATTGTTCTTCTTGGGATTTAAAGCAGCATATATTGCGGTAGTAAATTCTTTAGAGGATTGTATTTATTTCAGTTTTAAAATGGCAATAGGTTATTCTGAAAAAGACTTTAAAGAGAAATTGAATATTTAACAATAAAATATTTTCATAAATGATTGTATAATAAATTATTATATTTTTACTTATTAATTTTAAGACCTTATATGTTTTTCCAAATATATTGAAAATTACTTCATGTTCTGAAGATAAATTTTTTACTACTTGATTAGATCTTTATAAATAATTTTTTTTTTTTCTCTGTCAACGAGATAATTTTTTTTTCAAATAAATAAAATAAATAAAAATAGTTTAAATAATTCTTAATTTTTATTGAATTATCTTCTACGAACTTGAAATAAAATTCTTCTTTTTTATTGATCACCATTTCTAAAAACTTTTTAAGACCGACCTTTTCTAAAAATCTTTTTATTATTAAACACAAAAACATATTTAACTAGTTAATAGAAGTGAATAAAATTACTCTTCCTTCATTTTTACTTAGGTTAAAGAATAGATAGTCATTTTATAAGACGGTTAAATGAATTTCGTTTTCAATTAATTTCTCATTAATTTCTCCATTTTTTTTTTGATAATATTTCAACTTGAACACGAATTTATTTCGTCAAAATAAACATTAATAATAAGACGAACTAATAATACCTAATCTTCTATACAAAATTCCCCCAAAAGTAAGGGAATACCAAAATTAAGATGACAAGAAAAATAGGCAATATTATTTCTCAGTATCATTTTCTTATCAATAATACTTCTTATTATTCCTTTGAAGCCCAATAATTTATTTTACTTCGGATTCTCCTTAGTTGATACATTAATATTAAATTCAAAAATTTACAAAATACATTGAATCGAATTATATTACTATATCTTTACGTATTATATAGTTAAATTTTGAGATAAATTAAATGTTAATATTTATTTTCGATATTATCACAATAACTTTTGGATCACAATTTTTGAACTATTGAATCATACCAAATTTGCCAAATTGGAATTACAAAAGAATTGAGCTTTAATCTCCCAATCAAAAAAAATATATTCTTGATGACTAATTTTTTTTTTAATTTTTTTTTTTAGCCCAAGTCACATTTACTCATTCTACTGAAAAAAAGTCGTGATAATTTTAAATTCCAAAAAAGAATTTCAATTTATAATATCATATCCATTACGTACTTCTTTTAATTAGAAATTTTAATTGATGATGCAATAATGTTTTATTAATATAAAAATTACATATCTTTTGAGAATGAATTTCCGCTTATTACATATTGCCATATGAATGTATCACGCTGAATAACCCCTGCCAAAACTAATTGAATTTTAAATCGGATTTTTTTTTTAGGAAATTTACAAATCTGCAATTCTAATAATTCTAATTATTTAAAATTATATTTCGGATTTAAAATTGAAAATTCAGGATTAGTAGAAAACAATTTAAAAATTAATTTAAAATAAAATAAATTTATATATTAATAATTGATAATTGAAATTAATAATTTTTTAAATTGATGATATATGAATAATCACACACTAATAAATTCTATATAGTGAAAGGTGATGAATAAACCCAAAGGAAAGAAAAATACGAGAACAAGAAATTAATGATAATATCTTAAAAAAAAAGCAGAAAAGGTTACCATAAATAATTTAACTATTAAACTTTTGTATATAATTACAAAAAACTTTCATTATAAAATTTTTGAAAGTAAATTTAAATCATATTTATAAAATTTTTACCTTTAATAAATTATATAAAATTAATATATATAAAAGAACCCATCTAATAATAACAATAATAATAACAATAATAACAATAATAGTTGAAAATAATAATAAAATATTTAAACCACATAAAATTCTGTTTTATTATAGAACATATTAACTAACGGTGTGAACGAAATAATCAAGAAGATTATAATAGAATTGTTTTTATGTTAAAATGAATTCGGATTATTTTTTTTTATACATTCGAATCAAAAGTAGTTTCAACGGTATCAACACTTATTTTAAATTCCAACATGTCCACGATTGCATCTAATTATTAAAATCATAAATATATATAAACATTAAATATTAAAATAAATATAAATTTGTAACAATAGAAAATATAATTAAAAATAATCTTACCATTAACTGTCAATGGATCACTGTTTCCCACATCTTTACAAAACTAAATTTAGAATTATTTTCAATATTTTTATTATATTCAATATTGAATATAAGCAATAATATAATTAAAAAAAAAAAAAGGTACCTCAGCAAAATGTGCCTGAAGATCAACTCCAATATTACAAGCAGAAAGGTAAGTAACCGCAGTAGCAAATACATCAGAATTATATTTTATCATTATTTTAGTTGAACTCAAACAATTCGAAATCATCGCCCAAACATCTTGTGTAAGTTTTGTCCATAATGTATAATCAGAATTTATGTTTTGTTCTGATCTCTCAATCAAAAATTTGAGTATTCTTGATGCAGAATTAAATGGTGTATCATTACTAAGTATTTCAATTCCAATTGCATTTTTAATATTTGTCATTATTATCTTGACTGAATCTTTCATAATGTCGTCTTCATCAAGAGAAGATTTTGGATATTTCAAACTAAATTTATTCCATAATTTTAAATTTAGTATTATTATAATAACTAAATAAATAAATAAAGAGAGATATATATAGTATAATATAGATAGATAGATAGATAGATAGATATAAATTTAAATTTTACATACCTCCAACCTATATTAAGGGTCTTCCGTACTCCTTGAAAGTATTCTGTATTCTTTGTAACTAATAATATACATGCTATTGCTATAAGTTCCTCATCAAATCGCCAATCCACGGATTCTATAAGCCATCTATTCGTACCTTGATCAAGATAATGTTGATACTTATGATAAGTTTTTAATGCACAAGTTATTGTCGTCATTGGTAATTGTAAACGAAGGCAACATTTTATAATAAAATCTATCATATCAATTCGTGCATTAGATATTGGTTTAATTGATGAAATTGATTCATAAAGTTTAGGAGATGATAATGATTTCGGTGACATTTCTGTGGATTTCCCTTCTAAATTTATGTGATTTATAGAATCAATTATTGTAGTATATGAATTTATTGTTGATAAATTATCATTGATATCGGATTCAAGTGATTTAATGGTTGGAGGTGACGGTGATAACTGTCCTTCATCACTTAATTCTTTTGATTGATTTAATTGATTTACAATTGGTAAATTTACTCCTATTTTTTTTGAGAAATTATTGAATTATTTGATGTTTTTGATATTGTATAAATATATATATTTATATGTATGTATATTTTTGTAATCAATACCTTTGGTTGTCTCAACCTTTTCATGTTTTAAATTTATTTGTCTTGTATCGCTATTATCGTTTATAAGATTCTTATTTGTTCGTCGCGGAGATCTTGAAAGACGTCGAGGTCTATGAGAATCCGGAACATTGCGACGATTACGGGTTAGTGAAGGTCTACGGGGTGACTTGGATCTAGATCTTCGTCCATATCGACGTCTAGGTGGTGTAGGTGAGTGCCTACGAGGTTGTCGCTCTACAGAAGGTAGTCGTGGTCGAGTTATTCGTTTGGGTGAAGGTGAACGTCGAGGGATTCTTAATGGGGGAGAAGGAGAACGACGCGCAATTCTTGGTGAACGATTACGAATTGGTCGAATGGGTGAGCGTATTCGTTCATTACCACCATTTACTGTACGTCTATTGAATGGTGGTGAGGGCGTCCTTCTGAATTGTCTTCGTGGAGACCTAGATCTTCTGTGACCTGACCTGGGAGGAACATTTATTTGATTTGGTCTATAAGTAGAATTACGAGGCATTTTGTTTTTTTTGTTGTTTGTTAGTTAAGAATATTAACTAAAGATTTACTTAAAATGATAACATGTTACACGAGTATATGTAAAAACAAGCCATCACATTTACCACATTTTTGATTGTTGCCATTTTTATTCAGGCTTGAAGATAGAGAGATTCATTTATTAAATAAATGCCCAAATGTATTAATACATATTTTTTTTAAAAAAAAATCTCATTCTTTATTGTTCAATATTTAATATTTCTTTCTAAATAACGTTTCCAATTCTTTTCTTTCCTTTAATTCTCTTTTTTATCTTGTTTATCTTGTTTCTCTTGGATCATCATTTTCATAACATGAAGTGTCATCATACTACTTGGCATTACATATGGACTTTCAACTTCATTAACTTCATTATGAACAATTTCTCCGATTTCATCAGTTAATCTATATTTCAATATTCCTTCCTCTATTAGTTTATCAATTATATATTGAGTAAATTCATTACAAGCATAATGATATCCAATACAATGCAATGGATTTGACACAATTCTTTGAAAAAGAGAAATTAATTTAATAGAAATTTCATTTCCAAGAAAAAGTGTTACGAATTGATTTTTAACTCGGTAAAGAGGTTCAAAATTATCAACTTTTTTTTTTTTTTTTAAAAAAAAAAAAAAAGAATAAAGTTTTAATTAAATCAATTAAATGATATATTCGAATTTTTTTTTTTTTTTTTAAAAAAAAAAGAAAGAGAATATACTTTATTGGACTAGTATTTACTTGTTAAATTTCCACATGAAATCTTATAATCCTGTACGAAATTTTGCCAATCGACAATATTACCACCAAATATTTCGTAAAGATCGTCTTCCATTCTTACAAGATTCTCACGAAATTCTTTAGGTACTGATGGTAATAAATCTTTATAAAATATATGAGAGATATTTGAATAGTTCAAATCCCCAATAACCAGAAATTTAATATGACTTGCTTTAAAAATAAAGAAAGAATTTATTATCATATGAAATATAGATATTTTTTGCATAAATGATGAAATGATGAATGGATGATAATAGTTAACTTACATAAGTTACCTGGATAATAAAAAGAATGAATCAAATAATAATTAAAATATTAATTTTATTGTAAATATGATATAATAAATTGAATAATATTTAATTATTAATAAATTAATCTTTACTTTTCGTTAAAAATCTATCATAGAAATCATCAGAAGTTGAATGAATAACTTGACATAATTTATCTTGGGTTGCAAAAACTACCATCATATCAAATAAAATTTGTAACGCTTCATCATCTTTAATCAAATTTCTTAATTTATGTGCCTCATCAATAAATATAACGGGAATTTGTTTATGAATTTTATCTTTCTTCAATGAATGATATTTTAATAGACTCGCGTGAAATTTTTCTAATAATTTTGCTAATTCACTTTTGCAAGAATCTTTATGTTGATCATGATTTTGATTTTTCTTTTCATAACTTTCAGGTCCTTCAAGTCTAAAACGTTTAATTCCAATTGCTTGATCTTCCAGAACTTTAGCACTTTCTTTGTCAAATTGTTGATTTTCAGAAAGTCGTAATAAGAAAGTTTCAATACGATATGAAAATTCTGTTACGAAAGAATGCAAGTTAGCGAAACCTTTTGTAAAAAATATATATATATATATATATAAGTCATTTTTGTTAATATTTCATTATAAATAAAGTGAAAATAGATAGATATATATATATATACCTTAATAGATGGAATACCTGGAATTCGTAAATCAAAGTGAATTACATTATATTTATCATCTGAAAGTATTTCACGTAATAATGCTGTCTTCCCTACTCTTTTCAGGTAACACCCAATTATGTTAATAATATGAATATTAATTAAAGAAAACGATTTATAACAAATATTCATTAATAAACCTTTCAACACCACTAACGACAATCCATTTAAAACTATTATTTAAAATTTCTTCAATGACAATTTTCTCTTTCTCACGCCCAACAAAATTAGGTGTCTTATTAAAAGTATGAGTTGACGGACAATTGAATTTTTCATAAGTTTCCAAAGCTTGAACTTTTATTTCCTGAATTGTTTTTTTTGGTTTATCCAGATTTTCAAGTAATAATGTAAGAGGATTAGTTAAGGTTTTTAAAAGAGTGAGAATTGAAAATTGGCATTTCTTTGTCTGATGGAAAAAAGAATACTTGGGATGTAGATGATTTGACTTGACATGATTTAAGATCAATAAATTAGTAGTTGGGCGTAAACGAAAAAAATATCTTGGCATCATTTTTATAAGAAATTCAAATAATAAATACTTATGGAAATTTTATTCCCTTAAATAAATTTTTTACATACAAAATTTACGTTTTTATTCGTAAAAATTACTGAATTTAGTTAATGAAAAAATTATTACATCATAAATACTCAATTTTATACAATTACTCCTTTAAATTTTAATACGAGCGAACTTTTCAGTATATTTATATTATAATGGAGCATACATCTTTTGCCTTTACATAATCAAATTTGATTGTTAATTGCCAAGATATTGAAATTAGTATTTGTTTTTTTTAAAAAAAGAAAGAAATATTACAATCACAAAGAAAATTGAAAATCACTTTAGTCAATCCTAGTATTCAAGTAATCCAATTTGTTATTTTCCTACTTTTTCATTTATTCAAAGATAATAAATCACTTAGTTAGTAAATAACAGAGTTCAATTCTCAATCTAATTATTAAAAATGAATATTACTTTAACTGTTTCAATTACAAAACATATTAATAGGAGAAAAAAAAAAGATAAAATAGATTTAATTTTAAAGTAAAATATTTACCATCATAGATAGTACTTGATTGTTCTTTTCAATAAGTAAAGGGATTCTTTATCCTAATAAATGCAAAAATTAGTTTAAACAATATAAATCATCTAATTTTACCAAATTCCTTATTTCAAGCTGTCAGTATCGCTATAAATATCTATTTTAAGTCAGTAACTCAGTTAACGAATGATGAAATCAGCAAAAAATGGCTCTAAAACAAAAAGTCAACTGATTACTGAACTGAAAAAAATAGATAAAAGATCCAAGATCAATAACAAAAAAAAAAAAATAACCATAATGAATACAACATACAACCTCACCTTAAAGAAAACATGTTAAACTAACAACAAAACAAATATTAGAAACAATGTGTTCTAAAAAAATAAGTAAATAAACAAAAAAAAAATGAAAAGACAACAAATAAACAATTGCTATTAAAAAAATAAGTTAATAAACGAAACAAATAAATGAAACAGACTGATAAATTATTATTAATGCTTACCTTACCTTTTACTTATCATTTATTTTCCTAATCCTTTTTACTTACCTAAACAGAATAATAGTTTTAGTTTGCGGCGCGGCTCTAAAATAAAAAAAAAAATCAAACAAACTCACAACCGATTTTTTGTAACGTTGTTCTAATGCCATGCTGAAAAAAATAATAATAAGTTAGCGTAATGGCCTTGAAAAAATAATAGACCTAAAAAAATAACAAGTTAGAGAGAAAAGAAAGAAGACTAGAAAAAATAAAGTGGGTTATCAGGCATATTTATTTATAAAAAAAATCAGAGTTACACAAACTGATTCTATGTATTTATCACGTTATATTAAAAGAATTTCCTTGGGGGTTTTTTTTTGTTTCTCGTTTTTTCATTAAATAAAAAAAAAAGAATTTTGAATAGATAAATAAATTATCTTACAATATTTCAAATGATAACTTTGAATTAATCAATAATATATTATCTAATGAATGTTCTAATCTATCATCCAACATTTTCAAAAAAAAAAAAGGAGTTTCTTCTTTTATTGATTCATTTTCTTTACAGATTATTTAAATTATTATATCTTATTTCGGCGTCTCTTTAATGTGAATTTCATGACAAGTGTAATAAAGATATATTATCATAAAAATTAAATACAAGATTAAAAAGTTGAGATTAATTCCATCTTTTATTTGTCTTATAGATGTATCAGTTACGTTTAATGATAATTTAACTTGTTTCCATCCCATTCTCTTTGTATTGTTCAATAAACAGAGAGTTGTATAGAATAAATTTTAAATCAAATAATTATCTTGAAATATATCAAATATATTATATATTAAATGTATTAAAACAACTTAATCTGTCCAATGTTAATCTCTTCAAATATGAAATATTTTTTTTTTCATTAATTTTTGATTCCAAAAATCGTGACCTTGAAGAGGGAGAAAAAAAAATCTTTAGTTTTAACTAGTTATGGGGTGTGATAATTTTGCTATAATCAGAATAAATTAGTAAAATGTGAAAAACGCGGGTAACCTGTAATTATATATATATATATATGTACTTGGTCAAAATATTTTTTTAAATAAAGAAATAATTTCAACCAACAAAACTTGCAAAATCGTTTTTTTTTCAATGGATTAGGAAACTTACACATTTAACAAATTTAATTGTAATTATTGCAATTTGTACTTATAGTTTTATTTACAAAGACAAAAAAAAAAAAAATTGTATACCAGATTTTTGGGTCCGATGCGCATGATTGAAATAAAATATATATATATATATACACATACCTGAACAACGCATGTGTATCCTTTTTCTCTTGCGCAAATCGCTCTTTTTCAGTGTTATCTAAAAATTTATTGTCTTTTTTTTTTTTGTTGAACCTAAAGGCTCTTAAACAGCGAATCAATTTTAATAATTATCACATTTGGAAAGCTCCCAATTTCTATAATCAGATAATTAGTTATAACTTTTTTTATTGTATTCTTTTATTATTCCATGAGTCGAATTTTAGAACAAAGGAAAAAAGTGTACAAAAATAAATATGTTTTTGATTCCGAGGAATTATTCCAAAAACGTCAAAAACAGCAAATTGAAATTCGTCGTCAAAGTCGTGAACAGGTTTTAGCTAGTCGCAGAAATTATCAAGTAGCTGTTTTTAACAATGATTTATCCAACATTGATTCAAATGATAATTCAATATCTTCAAGGAATTCTACAAATGATAAAATCAATACGGCAAGTATTTCACCCATTCATTTATATGGTGATATTTCACCAATTCAACAACTTGGAGAAATAAGGTCTACAAACATTTCACCTATACCTGATCTGGGTGAAATGAGTACTTGTCATCACCTTTCTGAAATAGTTGAAGACATAAATTCTAATAGTGTGGAAAGACAATTGATCTCTCTCACGAAAATTAGAAAAATTTTGAGTAAAGAACGCATTCCACCAATTCAACAAGTTATTGATTGTGGAATTGTTCCTAGATTTGTACAATTTTTGACATCAATTAATATGAGTCTCCGACATGAAGCTGCTTGGGTTATTACAAATATTGTAACTGGAATATCTGATCAAGTACAAGTGGTAATTAATGCTGGAGCATTACCCGTATTTATGGATCTTTTAAATAGTTCAGATAGAAAACTTCAAGATCATGCTCTTTGGGCATTAGGAAATATTGCTGCTGACTTTCGTGAACTCGTATTACGCACAGGTAATCTTGGTGATTCTTGTTTACGTATTATTGATGAAATTTCTGAGCCTTGTTCAGTATTACGTACAATGGCATGGACACTTTCGTCAATTTGTCGAGGTAAAATATCTATTAACGAATGGCCTTTAATTAAACCAACTCTTCCGGCCATATCCCGACTCATCAATTATAAAGATGATGAGATACTTCATAATATTTGTTGGGCTTTAAGTTTTCTCGCAGATGGCAGTACTGAACAAATTGATGCTATTATTAATCTTGGAGTTTGTCCTGATCTTGTTAACCTAATGTTACATGAATCATATGATGTTCAAACTGCCGCTTTAAGATGTGTAAGACATATTGTTGCTGGTAACGATTTACAAACGCAAGTGATTCTTGATTGTGGAGTTCTCACGGTTTTGAAAATATTACTTATTAGTAATCAAGCATCAATTCGAAAGGATGCATGTTTTATTCTTTCAAATATTACGGCAGGAAATATTGATCAAATTACACACGTAATTCATGTTGGATTGATTCCTTTGGTTATTAATCTATTGACTAATTCAGATTTTCAAACTCAAAGGGAAGCATGTTGGGTAATACATAATGCAATAAAGAAAAGTTGTTCTCAAACCGAGTTAACAATTTGTATAATTCGACAAGGATGTATTCAACCACTTGTCAACGTGTTAAGTTATATGGATAATGATATTATATTTGTTGCACTTCAAGCGATTTGGATTATTTTACAAGTTGGGGAAACTCTTACCATAGAAAATAATGGAGAAAATCCCTATTCACTAACAATAGAAGGATGTGGTGGTATGGAACGTATAAATAATTTTCAATTTAATGAAAATAAGGATATTCGATTAATCGCATATCAAGTTATGGATAAATTTTTCTCAGAAGAGAATGAAGAACGATTAATAAATGAATCCTATACAAATGGCAAGAGATTAAGCTCTGACAACAAATAGATTCGTAAAAAAATGATAGATTTGATTTTCAGAACAAAAAGGAAGCGAATAAATATAATTAAATGATTTTTCATTCAAAATATGAGAGAAATTTGTTTTTGAGTGTTTAGTTTGGATGAAAATTAAAATAAAATTTTTAAATAATAATAAAAAAATTTATAAATTTATAATTTGAAATGTTAGAAAATATCCAAGTGTTTAATTAATTGATCTTGATTATTATTATTATTATTCTCACCTCAGATAATATAGAGAAATTAGATAAATTGGATAAATTAAATAAATTATTTGGAATTAATTTATTGTTATATTTTTACTATAAATAATATTGAAAAATGTAAATAGAATAAAATTATAATGTTATTATATTTATTCAATAATTTTTTTTAGATGTTGGCCATAATTTAATATAGAAATTTATTTATAAATATATTATAATAATAATAACACATACTAGAAGAAATTCATTTTTTAAACATGCCATGACAAAATTTTTTGACAAATAAGGTTGTTCTATATTTTAGTTAATAATCATTTTCTACTTATTGTTCATCTACAAATTTATTACTATAAATAAATAAATTTATATCCACATTTGAGATTAATTCTTTATATAGGATTAAAAAATAAATTAAAATTTTAATGCATTCTTTAAGCAATATACATATATATATATCTAAATGCAAACCATGTCTATTCTTCTACATTTCTAACCATCCTCCAAATTTATAAAAATAAATTCAAAATTTGTTATAAGAAAAATTAAAACAATAAAACAATATATCAGAAAATTTTTATAACTTATTATTAACTTATGATTATTATTATTACTATTTAACTTGAAAAAAAAAAATAAGTTTGAAAAAATTAAAAATTACTTCTAAATTTTTTAATTTCAACCATAACACTCTGTACGCCTACAGGTTGATGTCCAATTCTCACCGTACCATCTTTCATTCTTTCTTCTAATGCATTACAAAATCTTGTATAATAAATTATTAATTGTCCTAATACTGCATGTAAAATTGTTGTTCCATTTTTGAAATTTGAAAAATGTTGAATGACTGAAGTATTAATAGAAGTTAATGATTGACGCCAGGTCGACGCAAAATCGGTGGATACTTTGTCAAAGAATTCTGATTTTTTTAAAAATATTATTATATTAAAGAAAGATGAAAATATAATAAACAACATAATAAATAACAATAATATTATTAACTATTATAAAGGAAAATACCTGAGCCAATAGTTGAACCATCTTTCTCTTGTTCCAACATTTTAACAATGGCGACTAAACTACCAAAATAAGGATTTAATTCCTCTTCTACAAATTCGGATATTTTTACATTTAAAAGTTCTTTAAAGTGATTAATGTCAGCTTCTACAGCTTTTCCTCCAGTTTCCTGTGAAAGCAAATAATAATAATAATAATAATATCAAATTATCAAATGATTTACTAACAAGTAAAATATTAAATCACATAATTTATAAATGTAATATTACTTACACCTAAAATTGTTATAATCAAATCATAATTATTTATAAGGAATATTAAACTACTTTTATTGTCATCATCAAAAGATTTTGACATCTTTTCAAGGAATAATTCTAATTCATTCCCGAGTCTTGATAAACTAATAAAAAATAGAAAAATAATAAATAAATAAATAAGAAGAATAAAAATGAGAATAATAATAATAAATAATTATTATTATACCTATTATTCAATATTGGATCATTATAATCTTCATTAAGAGTTAATATTGAAGCAATAAATTCGGCGAATCTACGCGACATCTATGTGATGAATATTATAAAGAGAATTATTCATAAATTTATCTAAATTATCTTCAAGCGATACAGAATAAGATGATTCTCGAAATATAACTCTAGAAATAAGGTTTAAGTTTTAACTTACGAAATGTGGATGAACATCTTTAACCGTCATTTTATTTGTAGCTTTTCTAACACTTTCGATATGCATATCCATAATAGCCTGAAATCTTGGCCACAACAACATATTGGTTTGATTTGTGTATCCTTCAAGAGCAGGTACTCTTCTTCGTTGTAATTCCAAAGCAAATTGAGTATTAAGTCGAATACATAAAAGTGTACCAATAGCATCATAAGTATTGGCAACGTATTGTTTAGTAGAATTCTGATTTAGAAAGAAAGAAAGAAAAAAATAAATAATAACTCTTGTAAGCAAAAATATATATATATATATTAAAAAATGATTGAATTAATTCATTTAATAATAACAATTAAAAAAAAAAAGAATTACCAATCCCATCTTAATAGTTGTATCAAATATTTCAGAAAAAATGTCTTTAGCCCCTTCAACATTTGGTTTATCATCTTTAGAAAAGAATTCAATTATAAAAAGATATTCCGAACTAGCATTATCTATGAGTGTTAAATTAAAACTTCTAAATAAAGCTTCGGATGAATATTTCTATTAAAAAAATAATAATAATTAAGATATTGAATTTCTATGACAATTAAATTATTTGATTTTATTTTATTAAATACCTGATTTTTGTTTTCTGCAACATGAACTAATATGACACCGGCATCTTGAGTACGAAGTGTATCAATCCGATCACCTAATACGAACATATTTGTCTTATCTTGTAAAGCTATTTTACTAGATCCAAATATGCCACCTGTATAAAATATACATATATATATATAAATAAATAAATTCACATTTATATATATTTGTATTAAAACTATTTACCCTTTCTTAAATTTTCGTCATATCCTATCATTGAAGATTTATCTCCAACTGGATTCTTTGATTAAAATATAAATAAATATAATTAATTAATTAAATAAGCATTTATAAAAAATATATAAATAGGTATATATAATATGAATTTTATTAAATATTTCACCTGAAGTTTTTGTAAAGTTCGATTATAACGATCGAAATGATTGAAAAAATACCATTTCATAGTGTTTATATATGTATGCATTATTTCAAATGCTACATCATTATATCTATCCATCACGAATTGATAAAGTTCTTTATATTTCAACAAAACAGATTGTTGAAGGATTTGTACATTTGTATTAGGTATACGTAGAGACCTTATTTTATTCAAAAGAAAATCCCTAATTTTCTCCGCGGCCTAAAAATATAATATATATATATTTTTTTGTTAAATCAAGTGAATTCCTTAAAAATAAATACGAATAGAATATATCTATGTTTTACTACATATTTGCCTTGAGCCTCAATTTTTCTAATTCCGGACCAACATCTTTAATTGCTTTTAAGTTCTTATTTTGGTTATATTTCACATACGTCATCTTTTTATTTAATTCTGTCAAATATGCCAACCATGATTCATCTACTTCATCTTCAGTAATTTTTCTATACATCAGTTAAGTAATTTTTAGTAAATAATTTTTTATTTTTATTTCCCAAAGAAAGTAATGAATAAATAAATATTATTAATAATAAGTACTTTATCATAAGTGGAGGTATTACAATTCCTTCTAGAACATTATCTAATTTCTTCTCAACAGCCTAAATGTTGAAAATAAAAAATAAATAAATATGAAAATAAAATATGAGAATAATAAAATGATTAAAGCTTACAGTTCTATTTTTGAGTTTAATGTTCATTGAAAATGATTTATCTTGTAAGGTTTGAATTTCTGTACTAATGTTTCCCAAATCTTTCTGAAAAACACTTAACATATTTTCCATAGTTTCTAGAATTTGATCACAAGTCTTTTTTTTTTTATAACAAGAAAAAAAAGTAAAAGATTATTAATTTACACACATTTATATATTTGATAATTTATAATTTATTAATAAATAATAAATTTACTTGAATTTGATTGTGAAGGTTAACAAATCCTTTTGCTTCCTTTATGTCTGGAAAATTAAAAAATTAAATTTGTCAAGAATAAATTATTATTATTATTATTATTATTATTATTATTATTATTATTATATTGTCAAAATATTTCAACCCAATAGATATTATTGATAATATTTCAGTTATCTATTTATTTATTGGTTAAAAAAGATACAATCAGCCTCATGATCTTTTTCAATTATACTCAATTCTTTTTCAATATTTCGCGCATATTCGCGTAAATCCATTCCCTAAATTAATTAATTAATCAATCAATAATCTCAACAGAAGAATATAAAAGATATAATTATTACCTTATCAAAAGCTTCTCTCACAAATTCATCTTCCTGAAATTCTGAAATATGATCTGAAGAATAATTATTAAAAAATTATTATTATTATTATTATTATTATTATTATTATTATTAGTGATAATAAAAATATATCATTTGATAAAAGTTAAAATATTAATAATATTACCATCTACTTCATCAAAAGAGATCTCCCAATTTTCTTCTTCATCGTCAAGCAAATCATTATCAAGTTCATTAAAAGTCTACAATTGTATACAATATATATATATATATATAAATATATAAATATGTAATCAGTAAAATAACAGAAAATAGATTACTTGAAATTGAATACTCACTTGATCGCTAAATGAACCTATTAATTTTTCTAACAATTTTTCATTTGGAGTTAATGGAGAGTTAACAACTTTGGAAGATTGTTCTGACATCTCTTTTCACTTCAAGCTGTCAACCGTGAAACCAATAAATTAATAAATTTGTGTAACCTCGATAACGATTATATAAATAAAACAAGACTCCGCTTTTCCTTCCTTCTGATCGATCTTCCTTGTTTATCTAAATTACTATTCTTTACTATTATTTTTTTTTATTTAATTTGCAATGCAAGGTTATATATATTGTCGAGACAAACCTCGTTCAATAATTCTTCGTCCAATCTCTTCTTCAGAAAAATATAATCAGTTAATACTGTCATTTAAGCAAATAACCCAAAATTCAGATTCTCGACCTAAATGTAATGTAAGACTTTTACCTGAATCCGAAATAAAATTAGAAGAATATAGAAAACTTAATCAGAAACCTATATTTGGATGCTTGGGATTACTTCAATTAGGAGATGGTATTTCGTATTTTGTAATTTTTTTACAAGTTTTAATGTTAAGAATAAATTCATAATAAATTAAATCAATTAATATCATTTTTATAATAATAATAAAATAAAAAAAAAAAAGATATCTTCCTATCAGTTGTGACAAAATGTCATTCAATTGGAGAAATTCGACCACAAGAATCAGTTTATCGTATTTTGAATGTAGAATTTTATTCACTTGTCAATAGTTCATGGGATTCTTTACCCTCCAATTCCAATAATCGAACAAATTTTGATGAAAATGAATTACAAAATAATTACATTCATCCTTGTTATCAATTAAGAAAATTACTTTCAAATGGTCATTTTTATTTTTCTTCAGATTTTGATTTAACCAAAACATTAAGTTCCAGGTATGAATTTAATAATAATTTAATAATAATTTAATAATAATTTAATAATAAATTTAATCATAATTTAATCCAATTTTTTTATAGGATTAAGTCAAATTCTTCCGATAAAAATACTTTCGATGACCATTTTTTATGGAATAGATTTTGGATTGAAGAATTATTAAAATTTAGATTAAATCTAGATAAAGAAAAACAAATCGAAATGGATAATAGCGGATTTTTAGTAAGAATGAATTCAAAATAGTTATAATTTTAAAAGTAATTAAAAGTAATTTTTTAAAAAAAGAAATCATTTTTATTTCATGTGATGATTTAACTTGTCTAGTTATTTATTATTATTATAATTATTACAGGTGTTAGCTATTCATGGATATGTTGGGAGACAGGATGCCTTAATTTGTTCTAATAGAGCTTCAATATCAGTTATATCTAAATTAAGTTGTAAACGAGCAGGTAAAAATATAATATATTTATTATTTATTTTATATAATTTTATAATATTTATTTGATTTTTCGTGTTATCTTTAATAAGGAACTAGATATAATACTCGTGGAATTGATGATGATGGAAATGTAGCAAATTTTGTGGAGGTTATTATCAAATAAATTTATTATATTTGATTTTTTATTATTATTTATATATTATTATTTATATATTATTTCATAATTTTAATGAATAAATAATAAATATAGACAGAAACAATTTTGCAAATGCCGTCAGCTTGTTATTCTTATATACAAGTTCGAGGAAGTGTACCAGGTATTTTTTTTTTTTTACTTTTAAATAATTTAATTTAATTTAATATTTAATTTATTAATTTTAATTTAATAATTCAATTTAATAATTCAATTAATTTTAATAATTTAATTTATTACATATTTTTATGATAGTATTTTGGGAACAACAAGTGAGTCATTTTTTGAAATTATTTGAAAATTGATAAAGCTCACCAGTGGTGATTATTACCACCGGCAAAATTAAATTTACGTGGGTAAAGTTAGGATCGGGAAATTATGTAATTTTGCCTGATGGTGACAATCACCACCGGTGAGCTTTAGCAATACCCATTTTATTTTATTTATTTTAAGTTTAATTTTCAATAATTATTTTCATAAGGGTCTTCAAGTGGTTAGTCATAGAATTCAATTATCACGAGGTGCTGCTGCAACCCAACCAGCAGTTGAACGACATTTTAATGAATTAAAGAAAAGATATGGAAATGTACATATCATAAATCTTTTAGGGGCCAAGGAAGGAGAATTTTTGTTAAGTGATGAATACAGGAATCGAATAAAATCTTTAAATGAAAAAATTGGAAACATTGAAAAAAAGATTGAAAAAAAAATTGAAATATATAATAATGAGGATAATGAAGTAAAAATTTCTGAATTTGATTTTAATGGTATTTGTAAAAATGGAAATTATGAAAATGCGAATATATTAATTCATGATATCCGAGAATTATTGGAATCATCTGCCTTTCTTGTGGTAGATTCAGCAACGAATACTCCAATATGTTATCAAAAAGGGGTATTTAGAACTAATTGTGTAGACTGGTAAATATATTTATTTTAATGTTATTTCATATTTAATAAATCTATATAATCTATATAATCTAAATAATTTAAATGATCTATATTTATCTCTCTCTCTCTGTGTATATATGTATATAACGAAAGTCTGGACAGGTATTTGTGATCAATATCTTATTTTCTCATTTTCTTATATTTAATTTTCAATTATTTATCATATATTTCTTACATTTATTTATTTATTTATTTATAGAACTAATGTTGTTCAAACATTAATATCTAAATTTGTCTTAGATATGTATTTAATGCAAATAGAAATCAATCCTTATGATATAGGAAATTTATATTCTAGGCATTCATATTTATGGGCAGAAAATGGTGATAGTTTATCTAAAATATACGCAGGTACTGGTGCCCTCAAATCTGAATATACTCGAAGTGGAAAACTCACGTGGACCGGTAATAAATTTAGTAAATTATTTACTTGGATTGTATATTATATATATATATATATATATATGTATCTATCTATTTATCCATTTTATTTTAATAATATTAACAGGTGTTCTTAACGATGCAACTAAATCAATGAATAGATTTTACATTAATAACTTTCAAGATAAATCAAAACAGGAAGTCATTGATTTATTACTTGTATGTAATAATAATATTTTTTTTTAAAAAAAAAAATTTAAATTTAAAACTTTGAAATATATTGTTATTAATCTTTCTTTTTTTTTTTTGATTAAAGGGTAAATTAATGAATTCCAGGAAAATTGAGATTCATGATCCAGTAAATGAAATGGTACGATCAGACATGAAAAAAAGGTATTATATTGATGTGCACTTTTCATTTTTATAATTGAAATAATACTCCACGAAATTATTATTCATTTTATTTTACATAAAAACCAGGTTGAACGAATTTTCAGAAAAATCGATGATCAATATTTTCACTGGTACTTATAATTTGAATGGTAAATTGCCTTGCGAATCTCTTACTCCTTGGCTTTGGGCTTTCAGTGATCGTAAGTGGTTTTACCTAATTCACCTTTAAATTCTTTTCAAAATTAATAAATAAATTAATAAATAATTAATTAATTTACTTAATTAATAATTATTCTATTAATTATTTAAATTATATAAATAAAAATAATTTTTAATAATTTAAGATCAACCTCGACCACATTTATTTGTAATTGGATTTCAAGAAATTGTCGAATTAAAACCTCAGCAGGTACTAATAATTTATTTATTTGTTAAAATGTTAAAATGAGATATAATTTAATATTATTAATTTAATTTAATTTTTTTTAAAAAAAAAAAAAAAAAAATTTTAGATAGTTTATGCTGATCCAGAAAAATTGTAAGAAATATTTAAAATATTATTTTATTAAATGTATCAAAATTTATTATTAATGGATAATCAAATTACTCTGATTTATTTACAGAAATATTTGGGAGGATGAAATAAATAAAACTCTCAATTTTATCGATCATTACGTAATAATAAGATCTGATCAATTAGTTGGTACAGCATTAGTTATTTATGCTCGAGCAGATATTGTTTCTAATATACGTAATGTTGAATATGTCATGAAAAAGGTAAAAATAATAATAATAATAATAATAATAATAAATAATAATTTAAATAATTTAAAAAAAAATAAAATAAAATATCATTCTCGTAGATACCTATATATAATATTTTTATTATATTTGTGTATAGACAGGTTTGGGAGGAATGGCAGGAAACAAAGGAGCAGTAGCCATTCGTTTGGATTATGATGATACCAGTATATGTTTTGTGACGGCTCATTTAGCTGCTGGTTAGTAAATTTTTTTATATTTTGATTTTTTGATTTTTAATTTTATTATTTATTTTTATAATAAAATTAATTTAAATTTCTCTTTATATATATATATATATAAATAAAATATTTTTCAAAAAAAGGACAATCAAATTGGGCAGATAGAAATAGAGATTATAGAACAATTAATGATGGTATTATTTTCAAAAATGGTCGTAATCTTAATCATCACGAGTAAGCAAACTTTTAATAAATAAATTATAATGAATTATAGAAATTGTAATAATATTAATAATAATACAATATAATGTAATAGCTACGTAATATGGTTAGGAGATTTTAATTATCGAATATCTTTAAGCAATGAACAGGTATTCGATTTATTCATTTCTTTCTTTCATTCACAAATATATATATATAAGTATATATTCCGATTTACTGAATATCTTGAATATCTTAATTTACAGGTTCGAGAACTTATAGAAATGGAAAATTTCGAACGATTGTTAAATGCAGATCAGGTAATAATTAAATTATTATTATTATATAATTTATATAATTTATTTTAATAAATAAAAAATAATAATTTCAAATAGTTGACACACGAAATTGCTCATGGAAATGCTTTTACTGAATACATTGAAGGTCCTATCACGTTCTTTCCTACATATAAGTATGATGATAATTCGGATAATTATGATTCGAGGTAAAGAATGAACACCAATTTTTTTAATTTTTTTGCATGAATATATTATTATTTTATTTTATTTACTTTACTCATCCCTATTTGTCTTATATATTTTATTTTATTGACAGTGAAAAACAACGAATTCCTTCCTGGACAGGTTAGCTAAGTTTCCATATTATTTTAATTTCATTCATTCAGAGAAATATTAAAATTCGTGATATTTTATTAATTGTGTAACCATTACATACATTGATTTTTGCTACTGAATTATTAATTTATATTATATAGATCGAATTTTATATCGAGGAAATGGAACAAACAAAGTAAATATATAAATTTATTTTAATTTATCTAATTTATTCAACTTATTTTAACTTATTTTAATTTATAAATAAAAATATATAGATTCGACAAATTGGATATACCAGAGCTGAATTAAAAATTTCTGATCATAAACCAGGTATTAATTAACTAATTAACATTAATGTTATAAAATAACACATAAAATAAATATCAAATAACTTTTTTTTTTTTATTATTATATTTCGTAGTTATGTCATCATTCGACCTTGAGGTAAAGATATTTCAAATTTTCAAATTGTTTTCATTCTAAATATTCATAACATTATTCATAATACTAGATAAAAAATTTTTTTTTATTTATTTATAGACAATAAAATTTGATAAAAAAATCAAAGACAAAATTAAACGTGAACTTTATTTCGAAAAATTGAAATTGGTGTCAAAAAGTAATTATAATCAAGATAAAATCACCACTAAAACTATTAAGGATCCTACTAAAAATTGGAATAAAGTTGCTACGAATGTTAGAAAGGTTAATAATCCATTATTACCGAGTCATAATTATGGTCTTGATGATAGTAAAAATAATGATAAATCAAAAAATTTTAAGAATGTTGCTATGAAAGCAGTTGAAAATACTGGACCACCTGTTGGAATTTTAATTGATTTGAATGAAAATAATAAAAGCGATGAATGTAAATAGATTTTCTCTTATTTTCATTTGTTCATATTTATATTTTTAATTAAATATATTATTTTTTTTTTTAATTATTAATTATTCTATTTCAATTATTAATAATTCTATTTCAATTAATTATTATATTGTACATAATTTCATAGTATCTAAACAATTTAAAGGGAATAGTAATAATGAAGAATTACCTCTAAATAGTAATAATAAGGATAAACCACCAATACCTACAAAACCCTCAATTCTATCCACAAAAAAACAACTAATTTCATTATCGCCATCATCATCATCATCATCTCTGGAAACAATAACAACCAAAACATCACCCTCAGTAGAAATATCATCATCTTTACCACCATTGCCACCACGTAAACCTCAATCAGAAATTAACATCACTCCCCTTTCAACAACTAAATCTTTAATTAAAAAGTATGATAATAATAAATCAAATAAAATTAACAACAACAACAACAACAACAATAATAACAATAAAAACAATAATAATGGTTTAAGAAGAAATTCATTTGATGGTGATTGGCCAAATCGTTATGCAAAAAAATCAGATAATGAAAATATATTCTTGGAAGATGATGATGCCTTTTTATCAAAGGCACCAAGTTTCACCACTACCACGACGAAACAAAATGAAATTAAACAAGGTATAATTTTCCTATAATTTATATAATATGTATTAAATAATATAATTAATATTATATCTATAATTTTTTTTTATGTTGATATTAGGTTCAAAAATTCCACCAATAATTAAACCGAAACCAAAAGTCATAAAAAGATCATCATCACAAGGATTACAAGATTCACAAGAAGAAATTAAGGATAATCAAAATGTATTAATTGATATATCATCATCATCATCATCATCATCATCATTATCATCAAGTACAATATCACCACCAAATTTGGCTAAAAAAGGTAAATTAAGTTATTGATTGTTATTAATGGTTATTATTATTTAAATATATTATTATTTATATCAATTATTTAACATTTTATTAATATCACATTAAATATTTTATAAAAGTAATATCTCAAAATGGTGATTGGGTTCCTTTAATACCAACCAAAGCAAATGGATCAAATAATCAAAAATAATCTTCTACTTAATTGTTTCATTTTTTGAAATTATTTCAAATTATTTAAATATTATTAATCTTTAGAAAAAAAATAATAATAGAAAATACATACATGTGGTGTGTGTTTGGGTTCAGACTATATTTTATGTATATTTTATATATTTCAAATATATTTTAATATATTTTATATATTTCATATTTTAATATATTTTATATATTTCATATTTTAATATATTTTATAAAATTTATAAATTTACAATATTATTATTATCATTATTATTTTTTATTTACTTAGATCTATAATGTCTTTAGTATTTTTATTAAGTACTTATACCTATCTAGCATATTTATTACTATTATCTTGTATCTATTTATTTTATTTATTTTTCTTTTATTCTTATCTATTGATCTATTTATTTTCTTTTTTTTAATAAATTGAATTCTTACATTTTAGAGTAAATTTTATAAAAGTAGTATTCACATTATAATCATTATAATATTAATTAATTGTGTTGATTTTCTGATTTTGCATTTACTTAGTATTTTTATAGCGCTTATTTGTATGCTATGCAAGTAATAATCTCTTATGTATAAAGAAAGATTTACATTTACAGCCAACATAATAATGAACATAATTTCTACTATTGTTAAAAAAAATTTTTTTTCAAGAACTTACACAATGCATTGTTCTTATTCCCCTATAATTATCTTTTACTTATTACACAAAATTATATTTTAATACCTAATTCAGAAAATCATTAAAATGAACGTATAATAAAATGATGCAATTATCTCCTGAATCAAGGCACAAAACCTGTTTGTTTTTCGCACGCTAATCTTTTAGCACATGTCGTTCTTTTTATTAATTCTATAAGAAAGGGATTTATTTATTTTTTGATATATGTTATTATCTTAGCGTACAAATTTAAGTCTCCTTATCGATCAATTTTATATATAAGATTATCACTTGATATTACGTAAAATCCACGGTTATACAAATTTGTAACACTTGAATACGTATTTTCTTATATAGCTTCTTAATATTCATTTTTTTTTATACGGTTGTCGAAAAGAACTGTATAACCATCATGAGTTTAGAAGAATTCTTTAAAAAACCCATCAATAATAAAGAAGATGCTACAAATATTTCCCAGAAACATAAAGTGAATAGTTCAATAATAAATGCCGCCACGGGTTTTGCTTTTAATAAAAACCAAGATACAAGTCACACTTCTAATTTGGGTGACAAGTCATCAGTCCTTTCTCCTCGTGCCTTTGGAAGTTTACGTGGAAATGTAAGAACTTTGAATGATTCTCCTGACCAAAGTGATAGTTCGGGTTCCAGTTCTGATGAAACTGAGTCATCAGATTCTTCAGTTGCTCGAGTCGAACAAGCAAAATCTAAAGCTAGTTCTACCATAGGTTCAAATGTTAATTTAAAAAACAAATCAGTTGATAAGAATATTCAAGAAACTAATATTGATGCGGCTCCGAAAAAAGCTCGCGCAAAAGTTTCAGCAAATATGATTATATCAGATTTTAGTGATGTAGGACCACAAAGGCATAATGACGATTCAGAAAGCTTTTTAAATAAATACGACAGCCGGTCTGAAGTATCTAGAAGCAGTGATCGTAATAATAATAATAATAATAATAATAATTCTACGTGGAAACCAAGGATTAAAGCTTCCTCTATAATATCAGAAGAAACCACTCGTCAAAGAAGAACTAACAATATTTTCAATGACTCTCCTCGTAAAGTTTCATTTGATGCCAACGCTGACCCTACTTTTAAACCTGAAATTGGTTATTCTCGTTCTGATATACGTTCTGATGTTTCATGGGGAAGTGATCCTGGTCAGAATAATAATAATAATAATAATTATAATAATAATAATAATAATAATAATACAAATCCTAGGAAATCTATTCTTAAATCAAATGCACATGATAATTATAATACAAATAATAATGAATGGTTCGATCCTTGTTCTGAAGTTTCTAATCGACAAGATGATTCTTATTATAATAATAACAATAAATATCAATCAAACCCTAGATATATTAATAAATTATCATCAGATGCTCCAAGAACATGGTCCGAAGTAACATATCGTCCACAAGATGCAAGAACTGATATATCCTATAGGAGTGACCCGGGATTTAGTGGTCAACCTAATCGTAGGACGACGGCCTCTTATATGACTGAACGCGTTCCTGCATCTATTGATGAGAATAATCTATTCTTTTCTAATTCCCATTCCTCTTCACCACATGAAAAAGCAAAACATAAACCTAGAGTCTCTATGGGTGCAATGATGGATGTATCAAATGTTAATAATATTATTAATAATAATAACAATAATAATCATATAGAAACTAGACATCGAAAAGTTGCTTTATCTGCACAAATGAACACTGAAGATGATAATTACACGGGTGATTATAATTATGATGCGGAACCTACTGAAGATATTGAAGAGGAGGAAGATGAAGAAGATGATGAGGATGAAGAAAAAGATCGAGAAGAGTTAGAGGAGTTGATGTCTTTATCTTCTGATCCAAAAATTCAACGCAAAGTAAGTTCTCAATTAATTTTAATAATGTTAGCCATAAATAAATATATATATATATATATTTTAAGATTTCTAATATTTTAAATAATAATAATTAAATTTAATTGTTTTTAATTATTTTAAAAGTTCCTTGATCTTAGAATTTCCAATAAATCACTCATAACTTTGAATTCTAGTCTTGATGCTACTATCAAAGAACAAGCACTCAAATTGGCCAATTTGCCATCATTTGAGTCAATTGTTTCAACACAACAACAACAACTTGATCACATTCTTAAGGTAGAGAAATTGATGGATGTTTTGTCGAATAAGATGTCAGAACAAGAAACTGAAATAAAAACTTTAAAAGATAAATTATGTGAAGTAGCGTAAGTATTATCTGAAAAATTGTTAAGGTCTTTATTTATGAATTATAAGTTATTGGACGTTGTTGACGTTATTTTCGTTTTCATATGGAAAATCCCTCTTGATATAAGCAGAGAAGAAAATAAGAAGGTGAGTCGTTTCATGATGAAAAATGAATCAGATTTCAATTCAACTCTCTCTCCGGGCAAAGTTTTTTTATTGGTTTTATTATTTGGAACAATTTTGACATATCTAAATTTGGGGAATATATGCAACTTGCTAAATATAAGACCAGAGTGAATTTATTATACGACCCCAAAATGCTTCCATTGAATACTCTCCCACGTCTAATTTACAACAGAGGTAAATATAATGTATTAAAAAATTCAAATATTAAAAGATTTTTTTTACTTAAAATATATATCTCTTTATTATTATTTTTTTTTTTAATTTAGTTTACGACGATGTTACAATTTTATTTGCCATGATCACTTCGCTCATCTATACCATCTATATACTTCCCGTCATCGTAATGGCCCACTCTGCTCGGACGGTTGCTGATTTATCGAGAGCTAAAATTCAAGAAATATCCGGGAGTTAGAAATTCGAGAAATTATTTGGATAAATTTATAATTTCAACAACCTGAACATTATAACTCCTATAAATAATAATTTGAGAACTCTTTTCAATTCATTTCACAATATTTTTTTTTCACCACCAGTACACGCATATGTAAAAGCCTAAACTTTTACCATAGATCAAATTTTTTTTTTATTCATGTAATTTATAAATTCATTTATTATATTAAAGGTTGTATAATATGATTCACTGGCCTATATTTTTTTTTTTTAAAAAAAAAAAAATTAGATTGTATGTTTAATTCGTGATTCATAATAACGGAAAGAAATCTACATATAAAAACCATAATCTCGTTCTGTAATAAAAATATCATAAATACTATATTATAAAAGTCCATTTCTCCATTTATATCATAAAAGCAATGATTTTGATCTAAACATATTTTTAGTTTCAAATGACAACATCAATAAAATAAAGTGATATGGCCGTTTTTTTAATGAATAAAAAATATATAATTGGTCTGGGATTCAATAAATCCCTTTCCGTTTCTGGCGAATCATGAAATTTGATCAATATATATTTTGACTCAAATTAAAGTATCAGGTCGTTTTTATAACCTCGGCGCAATCCGAGATATATTTATATTATTTAAATAAAGTAAAATAAGGTAAGAGATCAGAAATTACTTAATCATTTAAGCATTTTAAGTAATCACATTGATTGTCAAATACGTAATTAAACATAGATTTACTGTGACACGAACGATGATTACCGATATTTTGATATTTTTTTTTCCGATTTAAAAAAGATATTTTTTTTTTTTGACAGATATATAATAAATAAACTAAACCAAAAAGGCAAGCTGGATTGAAAGATAAGAGATGGATTTTTATCTTTATGGTACACAGTTCTCGCGTTGCTGGTGTTTTTTAAAAAAATTAATATTGTAGATGAATGCATTTAAAGAACAAAATAAGTTAACGCATAGAAGAATCGAGAGATGAAATCTGCTGTGTAAGTACATTTTTATAAAATTCAAAATTCATATACATAATATTTTGTATTGTCCCATGGGCTTAGCATACATTTGATAAAGTTCTCATTTCTAAGTTAAAAAAGTAATAAAGTGAGTTTTTTGTTACTAGATTTTACAATAAAGAAAAAAAAACTCGTGAAAGTTCATGAAAACGAAAATCTTCAACGCGAAGTATTCGATTAAACTCGATTAAAACATATTCGTCATGATTTAATAATGCCAAATTAAAATTGCTTTAGTATCCCAATCATTAAATCCTCGCAATACACCGATTCTTGCTTAATACCCGTTGTATAACCTGATACTGTAATCACGATATATCTTAAGATAATCTGGCGTCTCGTCGCACAAGGTTGATGGTGCAATCCTTTAAGTAGTCTCGTTTTTTTCAAAATAAAATTTTATTTATTAAATATACGATCTTGAAGTTCACACGATGGTTGAAATTAAAAACAGCCTGCAATGGATAGCTTCTTTGGATGTAAAATCACCGACCAAAATTTTTCGCAAAAGTTCTATTATATGTACTATTGGTAAGTCTTTGACGACTTTTGTTCGTGTGTGTTTTATATTTTGTTCAAACATTAAAACCAAGATTTCATAAATAAAAGGTCCGAATACCAATAGTCTTGAAATGATATCCAAGTTACGTGAAGCTGGTATGAATATTGTTCGTTTGAACTTTTCTCATGGCTCCCACGAAGTAAGTGATTTAAGATTTTTATTTTTTTAAAGTTCCGGCTTATGCGGATAATGAAAATATTGAAACTCCTTTTTTTTTGATGAATTTTATTAGTATCACAAATCTGTAATAGAAAATACACGTAAAAATGCTAAATGTAAGTTGGAATTCGTTCTCAACCAAACCATTTTCTTATTAATCATTAAATCATTATTTATTACAAATGTATAAAATTTGAATAACGCAGTGGCTCCCGGTCGACCTGTTGCGATTGCTCTGGATACGGTAAAATTCTATTTTTTGAATTTTATTTATAATTAATGAATAATAATAATAATCAAAACATAAATTTTTATTTTCTTTTTACAGAAAGGACCAGAAATTCGCACGGGTCTAATGAAAGATGATATTGAGGTATTTTTATTATAATATTATAATATTATTACTTTTATTCTTCTCAAATTACAACATTAAATATATTTATGATAACAGCTTCCTATCACAGTCGGACACGAAATGATCTTTAGCACAAATGAAAAATATGCTGATAAATGTGACTTAGAAGTGATGTATGTTGACTACAAGAATCTCACTAACGTTATTAAAGTTGATAAGATTATATATGTTGACGATGGTGTCCTTTCATTTAAAGTAATTGAAGTACATGATGATTATGTTAAAGTTCGTGCTTTAAATAAAGGGACACTTTCCAGTAAAAAAGGAGTTAATTTACCTGGCACCGACGTGGATTTACCTGCAGTTTCCGAAAAGGATAAAGAAGATTTGATATTTGGAGTGGAAAATGACGTTGACATGATATTTGCTTCCTTCATACGTTCTGGTCAAGATATCAAAGAAATAAGAGAGATCTTGGGGGAAAAAGGGAAAAACATTAAAATTATTGCCAAGATTGAAAGTCAACAAGGTGTCAATAATTTTGATGAAATCTTGAAAGAGACTGATGGAGTTATGGTTGCTCGTGGTGATCTTGGTATTGAAATCCCACCATCATATGTGTTCGTTGCACAAAAAATGATTATTGCAAAGTGTAATCTTGCAGGGAAGCCTGTTGTATGGTAGGTTTAAATTATTTCAGTATTTAAAATTATATCACATTGATTTATTTTATTTATTACATTTATTTATTACTCTACTATTAAATATTTTCTTAGTGCCACACAAATGTTAGAATCTATGACAGTAAGTAAAAATAGATAATATATAAGAATTAATTTATAATGTATTAATATTTAATGATTTTAATTACTTATTAAATAGGTTAATCCTAGACCTACCCGTGCAGAAGTTAGTGATGTAGCTAATGCCGTTTTGGATGGTGCAGATTGTGTTATGTTGTCCGGAGAAACTGCTAAAGGATCTTATCCTATTGAAGCAGGTTGGTCACCTAGATTGCTATTAATTGTTAATTGAAATTCTTATATTTAACTTATCATCATTAAAAAAAAAAAAAATTGTTAATTAGTTCAAATGATGCACGAGACTTGCATCATGGCCGAATCAGTCATTTGTTATCCCCCTCTCTTTAACGAACTTAAAACACTTACTCCATCACCTATGGATACGACAGAAGCTGTAGCTTGTTCTGCTGTATCTACAGCTAATGAAATACATGCGGAATGTATTCTTGTATTATCAACATCAGGCGAGACAGCACGTTTTGTATCTAAGTATAGACCACGCTGTCCGATTTTAACCGTCACACGAATGTCACGTACTGCAAGACAAATTCATCTTTATCGAGGATGTTATCCTTTTATCTATGAAATTCCTAAAACTGTAAGTGATGAATGTGAAAAATGGCAAGATGATGTGGAAGAGAGAATTAGATGGGGAATAAACCGTGCCATAGAGCTCAAGTAATTTTTCTTGTCATTAATTTCATTTGAGTTTATTTATTATAATACCTTAAAGATAATTTATATATTTTTATTTATTTTTATTTTATTTATTTTCAGAATGCTCAAAAGTGGCGATAAAGTAATTGCTATTCAAGGATGGAGAGGCGGTAAGTATTAACTTGCTTCTTCCAAGTAAAATTTACATAACAAATTATTAATTATTATTTTTTTTTTTTAAAAAAAAAAAGGACTCGGTAACACCAACACAATTCGTATTCTTTTAGCACCATAATGATGACCACTTTATAATTCCAAAAATTATATTCAATATATATTTAATATACAATATGTTCTATGGTTTTTTTTTTTTTTTAATAATGATTAACAATGGATGTGATAAATATAGTGTGAAATTTCTTCTTTTTTTTTTTTTCTTTGTTGAATTTTACTATTGATAGTGAATATATAATTTTTTTTTCTTTTATGATTTTTCCTCTTTATAATTTTCCCTTTTCGAAAATGTCTAAAATCAAATTTGCACAAAAAATTGTTGTCAAACCTATGATAGATAATAAACTGTGACATTATTTAATTGTAATTTTATATTATTCGTCACCTATAGCTTATTTTTGGCAGTGACGGAGTGACGAAGTACACGAAGTACAAACAATTTAACATTTTTACCTTACTAAACAGTATTAGCCAATGACCATTTGATTTCTACGGAACTGGAATTACATACGTTATGGTTGTGCAATTTCTGTCGCAAATTTGTTTGCGCGACATCCATAATCCTTGAAACTAAACCAGTCCAGTGCATTAACTTATCCACTTGCACGGTTCCCGCCCGCTCAAGATTATCAAGATAAAAAGGTTCGTTTTTTTTTTTTATTTTTTTGTCTATCTCATACGCCCTGAGGCTATTGCCGCTTGAGGGTGTGGAGTTTGACATTAGCAACTAAGATTACTATCGTAGATTTTTCAGTCATCTCCGCCGCACATCTAACTAAACACTCACTTAGGGGCTCGCAATTTTCCAACTGTCACACTCCTTAGACCTCATTATAAAAAATATATTAAAAAAAAGAGTTTAAACCTTACTGGTTGTAATTCCGTGCCGAAAGACTCGGTTATGATAAACTTTGCGATAGTCTTATATAGTACTACTGCAAACAACTAATTGCGTATCCCTACCCCTTATTACTTCCTCCTCCGAAAACCACCTCAAGCAATTTTCTCGAAGTGTTTATATACTTTCTCATTTCGTCTCAAAGCTAAGGTACCTCATAATCCTTATAATAGCCTCCTACACATTCTCTAATTTCATTCATTCCGACTTTTATATATATATATATATTTATAATATTATATATATATATATATAGGGTCGTTTACCTAAATTATAACGGCTGTATATATTTACATTTTGGTTAACCCAATAATATTTCCACTTGTTTCTATTAATATTTAATTTTTTCAATTAATTGGAATTGATAATTCATATCACTATTATTAAATAATAATAACATTAATAATAATAAAAAAAAAAATAAGAATTCGATATGAGTCAGCCACCAATAACTCAAGTCAGCCCAGACGGACCACAAGGAGATGCTAAATATTTAGTTGGACCAAAGTCTGAAGGTAATTCTTCAATAAATTGTATAATTTTTGTTATAAAAAAAATGTATAGTAAAGAATATGAAATATTAAAATAAACAACCGCTTAGATGTGTTACTTTATGGGAAATTGAGATTAGAAACTTATCTTTTCTAAGGAAATATTACCATTATATAAAAAAACAACGAGTTTTGTAATGTAGAGTTTCATTTTTTTTGCTTTTTTCTGCGGTTGGCAACAAAAGGCAAATAAAACTTTTTCTTAAGCAATTAAATAAATTGTTTAGAAAAATTCTTTGCATTTGACGTCTTTACTGCAGGAAATAAGCAATAATCATGGGATTTTATTTTTTCACTTAGACACAGCAACCCAATCATCTGCTCCTTCAAAAAACATTTCTGTCACAACTAGCAATACAAATACATCTACATCTGCTACTCTTTCAAATGCAGGTCCAACTACCCCGGCAGGCCCAAAATCCACAACAAATACAGGGGTAACACAGCGTTCACCACCGCGTTCATTTTTCTCTTTAATCTTTTGTTGCACGTGGGGTGCTGGTCCCATAACCAATGATGATAAACCAGAAACTCCTACTGCTACTCCGACGACTAATCCACCAATTACGACGCCGACAAATATTAAACCTAAAAGCACGAAAACACCGCAAGTTGTACCTGAAAACCCTTCTGAAACACCACCAATACAACCTTCACCATCACCACCCGACGAACCCAAACCAAAACCTACTGAAGAAGTTCAAGTTGGAGAGGTTGGTTTTTTTTTTTTTTATTAAAATAATCATTTATTAATTATATAATCATTTATATATATATGAATTTAAATTCATTTAATTTTATTATTATTTAAAATAACAAGTAATTCAAATAATTTTTTATTAAAATTTTTGTTTCCTAAAATTATTTCCTTTTTTAAATAAGGTTGAAAACAAATGGTTACTTGAGCCAATAGCTCCTGAACATCTCGGCCGAAAATGTTTAGTATTAGACTTGGATGAAACTTTAGTGCATAGTTCATTTAAGGTGAAAATCATTTGTGTGTGTGTTCTTGGAATTTCTTTAGTTATTTTTCTTCGAAAGCTGATTCTTTTTTTTATTTTTTTTCTTTAGTTAATTCACCAACCTGACTTTGTCGTACCAGTTGAAATCGAGAATCAAATGCATAATGTCTATGTAATAAAACGGCCCGGTGTCGACCAATTTTTGAAGAAGATGGGTGAAATATATGAAGTAGTTGTATTTACAGCCAGTTTATCTAAGGTTTGTTAATTATTTTCATTATTCATTATTGTCGATTGTTTTGATTATTTTTGAAATAATTTAAATTTTTTTATTATTTGAATTGTATAGTACGCGGATCCTGTCCTCGACATGTTGGATCAACACAAAGTAGTGAAACATAGGTTATTTAGGGAATCATGTTATAATCATAAAGGGAACTATGTAAAGGTAATTATTTATTATTTTGAGCTTTTTTTTCAACTTACGAAACATAATAAATTATGATTTAAAAGTAATCAAGTTAAATAACCTTTGCGATAATATTTTATTTAGGACCTATCACAACTTGGTCGAGAACTTAGAGATAGCATAATTATTGATAATTCACCGGCTAGTTACCTTTTTCATCCTACAAATGCTGTTCCTATATCTTCATGGTTTAATGACCCTCACGATACTGAATTGTTGGATCTTATACCGTTTTTGGAAGATTTGACGACGGTAGATGATGTAATGATAGTTTTGGATTCTTCCAATGAGGCGCACTAGGGGATGATGTAGTGTGATAGGTGGATAGGTACTTGGTAGTATAGCGGGTGTTGGTCTAGTAATTTTGAACAAGGAGTAGACCATTCCATGATTAAAAAAAAAGAGAGAGAGCATGGTCCAGATTAAATGCTTACGGCTGCTTTCTTGCCACTCAGACGGGATTGTCACACTTATTTGAGGCCCTGAAGAAATATGAGAAGGCAGTTCGCGAAAAAAAAAATATGACACTTGTACATTTTGGTTTTTTTTTCCTTTCATCAATCTTTGGCACGGAATTGGGTGACTTAGTTTCTTATATGTCTTTTTAAGCACTGCACTATTAATTAAAGATTGACTTTTCAAAACAAAAAATGTGATCGCCTTTTCTTTACTCTATATTTACCTAATTAGTGATATAATTAAAACCTAATTATGTTTATTGGTGGTTTTGAATAGGACACGTTATTATCTTTTTCTTCTAATTTACATATATACGACTGATTAAGGGGAAATTTTGAATTCTTGGTCGGACTACGGGGCGATGTGTACCGATGTTTTTTTTTTGTTGTGAAATATCTTTTCGTAAATTCAAATATTCAAATATATATATGCACCACGTTATATATATGTATTAGAATTGACTGGTTGGCTTTCTTAGCTAGTTTTCAAGATTTATAACTAATTCTGACAATGCATTATCCAATTTATATTTTAACTTTATTTCTTTTATTTTATTTTAATAATTTTTGGTAGATTTTATAAACAATATTATATTTGTTTAAAAAATTTAAACTTTGACGTTGTTGAATAGGAAAAATTTAATCATCGCCCCTCAATTTTTTTTTTTGTTTATAGTAATTTTCATTTTCTCCTTTATATTTACAATTTATTTTTCTCGTGTTTCATTTTTTCTATATCTGGTTTTAGTTTTGTAAAAGATAAAGATTGATCCATTTTAATCATATTTGTAATTCATCATGAAATCATTGTTTATGTTCGCTTTTGCAACATTTTTTTTTTGCATTTGTAATAATAACATTCAACTCAAATTCCTTAGGAAATGATTTATCTTTTATTAAATTAACTGTGTAAATCACATGAAAGCCCGGAGAGAAAATTCCTAGGGTGATCGTCGATTTTTTGCTCGCCGACTAGACAAAATACCATTGGTCATGGATCACCTGGTAATATGCGCATCGTTGATCACATGAGATTCGATCCTATAAAAGGTTGCGCAATTATGATTTATGACCTAATGCCTAGACTTTATAAGAACTCACCAGAGGTGAATTTCACCACCAGCAAAATTTACATAATTCCCTAATCAACCCTTTGCCATGTAAATTTAATTAATGCTTTCAAGCTTTCCAATATATTATTAAAATACTCCAAAAAGATCCCATTTATATAGTCATTTAAAAAGTCATAATAAAAAATTGAATTAAAAATTACTTGATACACATAATATTTTTCAATATTTTTATTTGTCTGGAGCGTAGCGAAGGACTACGCACTATGATAAATTTCGGTCACGGGTGTTTCTCCGCACAAACGTGATAATTATCCAACGAAATGCAAAAGTTTCATTTTGATAGACTTATGGTTATTTTTTTGATATATCAAGATACGCGTGAAAAAAGTGGTTATTTTTTGATATGCCTTTATATATTTATTTATAGGTGCATCAAAGATAACTATTTTGTCACATCAAAAAATAACCATAGATCTATCAAAAACGAAGTCTTTGCCAACGAGATTGTGATTATTTTAGATAACCATTTAAATTTTTTGTGCTCCGGACTCAACTAGTAATTAATTACACCATGATTATATAATTATTAAATATTAATTACTATATATAAATATTGGTGTTAGATTAAATGATTAAATGATCTGGTCATTTTTGAAATTTGAATGACCAAAATTACAAAGTCATTTCAATAAATGACTTTTTAATTATGAGAAAAATTAATTTTTTATTTTCATATTGATGGAATTTTTTATAATAATTTCTCTTATTCAAGTAATTTCCAATATAATTTTTATTAGTTATTTAAATGACTTTTTAAATAACTTCAAATGACTTTAACATTATTTTTAAATGACTGAGTCATTTGATTATTTGAATTGGATTACTTTCCATCTAACCAAAGCAGTCAACTCATATTATTATTGAGTTCTCAAGTTGCATATGGACAAGTATCTTATGTAAATATCTAATATTTTTTAATTACTATGAATTTAAAATATTTAAATAAATTTAAGCAAATATTTAAAGTTTAAATCCAGAATGAATAGCTGCAATACCAAAAGATAAATCTTCCCATCCATTATTAACAATGGTAAATCCAGCATTTTCTATCATTTTTGCAAATTTATCTTGGGAAGGAAATTGTTGAATACTTTCTACTAAATATTGATATGAATTTATATCTGCTGCAACTAATTGTCCCATTACTGGAATAATTTGAAAAGAATATAAATTATACATTCTAATATTTATATATAATAAAAATTTGATTAATTATTATCAATTTAATAATTTAACAAAAAAGTATTCAAATTGAATTAGAAAATTAGTTTACTTACAAAGAAACAACTGGATTTTGTACTTTCCCAAATTCTAAACACATAAATCTTCCACCAGGTTTTAATACTCTATATGCTTCATGTAATACTTTATCAATGTGAGTACAATTTCTTATACCAAATGCTATTGTATAAATATCATATGAATTTGATGGAATTGATTCAAGATTTTCAGCATTTCCTAATTCAAAAGCAATTTGTGATGCTTTTTTTTTATAAAAACAAAGAAAAAAATTCTAAATAATAATCTCATGAAATTCCATACATTTTCATTCAAGAAAGTAAAATAAAATAAAAGAAATACTTACTTTCTCCATATGAAGTCATTGAAAATCTCTTTTTGCCAACTTCCAACATTTTTGAATTAATATCTAACAATGTAGCTTTTGCAGTGGTATCTTTATGAATTTCTTTACAATAATTAAAAAATCCCATAGCAATATCACCTTTTAATTAAAATATTTACAGTAATTAGTGACATTTAAAATAATTATAATAATAATGGTAATAATTCTATTAGATATAATTATTACCTGTTCCTCCAGCAACATCCAATAATTTAGTTCCGGGACCAGGAGCCATTGTTCGAATAAAATGTTCTTTCCAGAAACGATGTATACCAAAACTCATTATATCATTCATTAAATCATATTTCGATGCTACATTGGAAAAAACTTGTCCAACTTTTTTTTTTAAAAAAAAAATAAATAATACATTTATTTGATTAAATTTCTTAAATTATTATTTTTTAAATTATCAAATAAAGACCATTTTATTATATTAAATTATAATTATTTTATTTTATTTATTTTATTTTTTTACCCAAAGTTTGTTTCACACTCTCAGGAACACTCTTGAACCCAAAGTGAGTTTTTGGTTCTTGTGTATCATATTTATTTTTATATAAATTATTATCATCTCTATGTAATCTATAAGCAGTAGAAGCAAAATTTCGAATACATGGATTATATATTAATTTGAGTATTCTTATTTTCGGTCGAAAGAAAATATTACTATTACTACGTAATCGAACTTGAAAAACCATGACTAAAAAAATTTTTTTCTTGTGGACTATCCAAATTTATGGATTAAGTTTCCTAATTAAGAAATTAATAAATAAATAAATACAGTAACGGTATTACAGTATATATTTTATATTATTGCAATTACGATATATTATGAGCAGTATAAAATAGAAGACAATGCTTGTCTCGACTTTCTAAACTTGTTTTTTAAAAAAAAATGGCACGTTATGTGAAATATGGTGTGGGAAAATTATTCGGTTAAATGCGGGTATAATTGAAAATAATTGAAAACGGAATAACTGATAAGACTATCTTCAACATTATAAATATATATTTATATATATTTATAGTGATACCAGATACATTTCAATTTTAAAAACTTTAAGGTTATATAATTAATTAATGCAAGAGATAAGATCATAGGACTATCAAAGTTGCAGGCAAAAATTGTATGCATGTATGAAATTAGATTATCTATTTTATCTATCATCATTCTTCTTCAGTTTCAATAGAAAAAATTCAGTTTTTGCAAAAAATTTTTTTGAGCACATGCAATTTATCAAAAAGAATAAACATACAATATTAAAAAGAAATTAAATTAAAAATAAAGTAAACAAAGATAATTGTATCACGCAATCCCAAATTCAACACGCATTATATATGCGCGAATATTGATTGATTATAGATAGGAGCGAAAGAATGAAAGATGCAAATGTTACACGAAAATTCTTTCCATTTTTAACTCACTTGTTATTATTTTATTATCTATCATTTATTTATATTTCATTATATATATTTATTATATATATTTATTGTATTTTTAATTTTTTACTTGTACTAAGTTATTATAAAATTACTTTTCTATTTTATTATAATGCATACATATACACACGCAATCTATTTATTTATATTACTCTCTACGCCAACAAAAAAAAAAAAAAAAAAAACTTTCCCCATTAAAAAAATTTACTGTTTCTCGATATTTATGATATTTATCTGATATTTATCTGTTTATCTGTTTGTGGGATAAAAAGTCTTATCAATTCTTTTGTTGATTTTACTTGCTTATTCTAGCTGACTATTGATATATATTTAGATCATGATAAAATTGTTGATTCAGCCTATAAACTTTGACAGAAATCAAATTAGGAAGGTCTAAGATTATGTTGAAAAAAGATCATTTGCTGATAAAAAAAAAAAACCCTGATATTCAATATTCTTTTTCCTCCACAAATTTTTACTTTACATAATTTTTTTTATTTATATTATTAAATAATAAAATTTATATTATAAATAAATAAATATAATTTAAATTTATCTATTATAGATTATGATATATTATATAATTATATAATTATATTTCAAAAAAAATTTTCCTACATATATAAATAAGATCAATTATTTTTTCACACGCGCTTTCATCCTTTTACAAAAAATAAATACATATAAATATATACAAAAAAAAATCTGTCAAATATAATTTGAATATTTTATATTTTTTGAAAATTATGGAAAATAAAAGTACTTCTGCCTTTACCACGCATGCAAATTCATTAAATCCAAAATATCATTTTAATTCAATGACTAATCAACAACCTCAAATTTATGGTGAACATGCGTTAGACCACAAATATTCTTATATCGGTAATAACAATAATTTAGACTCTCTCGTAAATGCAATCGATAATTCTCCTGTTCAAAAATACAATTTCGCCAAGCAAAACAATATTACTTCTCATCTTTCTCAAAATAATAATAATTCTTCCGAACATAATCATCAACTTTCTACTGCTCCTTTTACTAATATATTTCATTCCCATCATAAATTTGATGAAAAACAAAATAACGAAAACAATAATAATAAAGATCAAATTCATGCTCATCGATTATTACCTCCCCCTATTAATAATAAAAATATTAATAATAATGGTTCATTAACACAAGCTGCTATGTCAATTTCTTCTTTAATTGAATTGGATCAACCTGCTCAACCATCATCTTCGTCATCATCATCATCATCATCATCATTACCATTAACACCACCTGATACTTCTTTAAATATGTTGAATTTCCCAGGATCTCCTTCACCATGTTCCTCACCTATTCCATTATCTTCGATGCTTCCTTCTGCTCCTATATCCGTACCTTCTCCAAACGATTCAATTTTTTTCCCACGATTACATTCTTCCCCTCCTCCTCCTGGAAACATTTTCTTAAATTCTTCTTCTTTCCCATTACCTAGTGTAAATCAAGCTATCGGTGATGTTGATCGTACACGTAATTCTCCTCCACCTTTAATTTCTAATAATAACAACAAAAGAAAATGGGAAGCCACTGAAAAATCTCAATCTCTTGGTGATATCTCTACTACTAATGGTGTCGATGTTAGTGGTAGATGCAATGTAGAAGAAACAAGATCAAAAATACGTCGATCAATTGAGGAACGTATTATTCATAATAACAATATAGATGAACTACCTGAATCTCCAAAACAAATTCAAAATGACTCAAATAATACAACAACTATCACTTGTTATCATGCATCTGTTGCACAAAAATCATATGGAAGCGAAAAGAGATTTTTATGTCCTCCACCAGTATTAACTTTTGAAAGACCAAACAATAATAACAATAATAATTGTAGAGGAGGATATTACTCTAAACCTGAAGTATCAATGTCAGTAGTATGCGAATCAGGAGAAAGATCGTTAGAACAAAAGACATTGTTAGATGAAAATATGAAGGGTACATTTAAGTATTTACATGTCAGTGGTACTGCCAAGGCTAAACATTTCACTTTAAAATTAAAAATTTTTCATAAGAATTCCACTATTCCATATGCTTCTATCGATTCTTCCCCAGTAACAATTATATCAAAACCCTCTAAAAAAACTGCAAAAGCAAGAAATGTATCATCTTGTATATTATCAGGATCACAAATTTCCTTGTTTAATCGTATTAATTCACAAACTGTACGAACGAAATATATGGGTATCGAAGGAGGTGAATTATGTGCCAAGAATTCATCTTGGTCATCTTTTATAATTACTGTAGCAAATAACAACAACAACAACAACATAAATAACAATATTAGTGGGATAGGACCATGTTCATCACCCAGCAACATCCCTTCTTCTAAAGGATCCCATCATTTTAATTCCTCATCTTCAAATTCTTCTTCTACAACCACCAATTGTTCAAACGTTACTCCAATCACATATGGTTCAGAGATAATCCTTTCTGATCCCACTAATGGATTTACATCTGATCGAATGATAATTCGAAAGGTGGAAAAGGGCAGAATTGCTCAAGGAGCATGTGGTCCTGTCAGTCAAATGCAAAAGATTGCATTACAATGTGTACGTCCCGGTGCACGTGAATCTCATTATTTAAGTGCCGCGGGACCAATAACAATGGATAGCCCTCAATCACAAGAACAATGTACTGTTAACAGTGCTTCTTCTTTTCTTGGTTATCAACCCTCAAGAGTGGTTCACATGCAAAACGTAGAATTTTCTAAAGAACTTTTTCGTATGGTATCTATGCCAAACTCAATACCTTGTAATAATAAAAATGATAATTCCAATTCTTCAATTATTGTCGAAGAAGTTGATGATTATTTATGTTGGACAATCGTAGGAATTTGTAAGTATATAATTAAAATTCATTAAAATCATTATCAAATCTTATCAAATCTTTGCTAATCAACCCAATTTATTTTACAATATTAGCAAAATTTCAACGCACTTATTATGAACCATTGCAATCTTCATCAAATTCAAGTACACCTATTTCCCAATAAGATATTAAAACGAAAAAATTTGTTTAAATTTTATATTATACTTAAAATATGACACTCGTGTCTTGATAAGAATTTGTAGTTTTAAAATTTTATTATGTAAAAAAAAAATTTCGAAACAAAATAAAAAGTATGATCGCGTGATATGTAAATTACCTATCCAGTTATCAGAATTTTTACTATCAGGTGTTAGACGTACAAAATTTGTGACACAATTTGACTATTGATCACTCGTGTGGTATTTAACAATGTATTTTATTTTAAGTTAGCTCTCTTCTCTCATGTGAGGCGTTTTTCACGTTTTAATTTTCTCACATTTGCACAATAAGTTTGTACGTCATTTTCTCACGGTAGATCATTGTAGAATTAGACAAAAAAATGCGCCAATCTTCTATGATAACTGCAGCAATCTCATCAGATAACGATACATTGTTTTTATTTATATTATGCAGATTTAAAAAATTAACCTGGCTTCCGTTCTTTTCCGTTCGGATTTTCTTTCGAGTTTTTTATATCATCAATATTATCTGGATGAGTACAAGATTATTTTGTGAAAGGTTTTAATCAACAAATGATTAAGTTGGCGCTAAATGCATACTTTATACGGTATTTTCAGTGTGGGGCATAATAATTTTTTTTTTTTTCGATTGAATGATCTGAATTATCTCAATATTTAGCATTCCATAGGTCGTGGTAAAAAAATTCAAAAACAGGTTGAATCAAGTTTCGAAATTTTTTTTAAAATTTCCCACGAAAAAAATTGCGCAAAGCCCAATCATCAATTTTTTAGTCACATGTTACTACAGAGAAGAATTATTTGATTATCAAATATCAATTTAATTAATTTTATACAGTAACTCGGTAACTTTTATTTTAAATTTTTACCAAAATTTCCATATCATTCTAAAAAGAACTGAGTAATTTAGGTTTTGAGCAAGGGAGAAACCTTATACAATTAAAGTTTATAAAGTTAATAATAATTTTGTTCAAGTAAATAAGCAGTATATCTAAGATTTATCAAACCTATAATTAATTAGTAACGTTACATCGCGGCGAAATGTTTTAATTGCTGATCCGACTATCGATTAGTGAAATAAATTTTAAGACTGTACAAGTATTTAACATAATTTTTATAAGTTTAAAATTTTTAATTTATCATCAATTAGCAAATTTTTAGTAACCTTTTTTGTTTAAAAATTTCACATGATCTTTGTAAGTTTCTTTATTAAATAAAATAATTATTTTTACATAGAAAGCAAAAGATTCTGAAAGGCAAAGTGGCGGAGCATCTGTAGTTATATCTTTAGACGAACCTGATGAAAATAGGGTTACATTCAAACCATTTCTTTAGCAAATACCAAAAATGTAATAAATTAAAATAAAATTTGAATCTTTAATTTTTATTCCTTAAATGGTAGTGACATCACAAGTCACTAATAAATTTGTTACAATTCGCATGTTTTACCATTTTAAGGAATAATGATCTTTGTTACTATACTATAGTTACGTGATTCTATATTTCTAAATTCTAATTGATATCATGAGAAAAAAAATAAATAGATATACAGTGAATAGTTAAAAGTTATCAGATAGTTATCATTTGTATCACAATAAGTAATTAAAATTGTACAAACTTTTTATTAGATTCCCTTAAATCAGAGTTATTATATAATATATTTTTTACTTAAAATTAAATATTCACATATAAAAAAATTACACTTCAAATAAAATTAACAAAAAATAATAAATTTAATTTTTAATTGTTGTCTATACTAAAATCAAAAGATTTTAAAGATAAATATTAACTATCTTATATAGAATTGTAACCAAAAATGATATCTATAATTTTAATTAGAGGAATTTTTATAATATTTAGTAAAATTTAGATTTTATTTAGATATAAATAAAAGTAACTGAAATTTATAAAAATTTTAAAAAAATAAAAAAAAATTTAAAAATAATTATCAATTGTTTCTATATATAAAAGTTTTTTATTTAATAAAGTAATAATAAAATTAATACTAATTAATATTAAAATTTAGAATATATAATATCTTTTCTGAAGTATTCAGAATATACTTGTATGCAGAATTATTTTGAGATCCTGAAATTGTAATTTTAGAGAAAAAAGTTGAAATAGTTTTTCATAGAAGACAAAATTATTTTACTTAAAATCTAAAATTTTTTGACTACTCAGATTTATTTTTTGATTAAATATATACATAACTAGATACTTTTTTTACTTCCATATATAGAATAAATTCTGTATAAATCTCAAAAAGTTGAAATACCTCAAAAATTCAAAATCAATTTTGAAAATATGTATAATTCAGGAATTTTTAATTAAAATTAAATAAATGATGAGTGATTAAATTTCAGAAAATAATTTTTAGACATCTGATGTTCTGTTATTAATATTAAATTTAATTTATAAATAAAAATTCTAAAAACTTTACAAATATTGTTCCATATTCAGGATTATAAGATTTATTAATAACATATTTGTAGTTTATTAATAAATAATAAACTTTAATATATAGTAACATTTAATAATTATTTTTGATTTTTTTAATATCAAAAATAAATAATTAACAATAAATTTGTTTACTACGCAAATTTCTAAGGTAACCATTTTATTGTTAAATTTAAAAAAATAACTTTCAAATATTACTATATATAAATATTCATAATTTAATAATAAAACAATAAATATATTATTAGTTAATCTTATAACTAAGAATATAAAGAATTGTTAATAAAGTTTTTAAAATTTTTTCTTGTAAATTAAATTTAATTTCAATAACAGAACATCAGATATCTAAAAATTATTTTCTGAAATTTAATCATTCATTATTTATTTAATTTTAATTAAATATTTCTAAATACTTCAGAAAAAATGTTATATATTCTAAACTTTAATATTAATTAGTATTAATTTTATTATTACTTTATTAAATAAAAAACTTTATATATAAAAATAATTAATAATTATTTTTAGATTTTATTTTTTATTTTTTTAAAATTTTTATAAATTTAATTACTTTTGTTTATGTCTAAATAAATCTAAATTTTTACTAAATACTATAAAAATATTTTTAATTAAAATTATATATATTGTTTTTGACTACAATTCCATATAAGATAGTTGATATCTATCTTTAAAATCCTTTAATTTTAGTATAGACAATAATTAAAGATTAAATTTATTATTTTTTATTAATTTTATTTGAAATATAATTTTTCTATATATAGATATTTAATTTTAACAAAAAATATATCATATGATAATTCTAATTTAAAAAAATCTAATAAAAATAAGTTTGTACAATTTAGATCATTTATTGTAATATTAATAATATTTTAAATTTAATAATTTTTTTAAAAATTTTTAACTGTTCAGTATATATTATATCTCAATAAAACTAATCAAATTAAGGATAAAATTAAAAAGATCAACATAGATTTATAAATGATATAGTGTTATTTATTTTATCCAATTTTACTACAAAAAAAGTTTTAAAAATAACATTTAACATTTGGAAATATTAAAAAATTATCTAAACTAATAAAATAAATAAAGTATTTTTTATCCTATAAATTTTTTTTAAATTATATCTTTCTTATCTAAATCTATAGAATAGTATTGTACCTAAAAATAGTATTCTCAATTATTTTTTCAAATTCTCAATATTACAGATTTTTTAGATGAAATTGTAATAAAAATTTATATATCCTCAATTAATCTATATGTCTTCAATTGATCTGCAATTCTGCAATTGTTTTGTAATTCTTCAATCATTTTACAATTCCTCAATCATTTCACAATTCATTAATTATTTTACAAGTTTGTATAATTTGATAATTAAAAATTTTTTTTAAAAAAAAATCTATATTTACCTTGTCCCTTACTTTTACCTTTCTTCTCCTCATCTTTTGCTAGCTTGTGAGAATATTTGTGAAAGTTGAAATCGTAAAAATTAGCTTCACAAATATATAGTTAAAGGTGAGTTTTTTTTTTTTTTTTTTTTTTAAAAAAAAAAATAAAAACTTATTTTTATTTTTTAAAACAATAAAAAAAAATCTATACTTATCTTGTCTTTACTTTTATTTTTTTTCTTCTCACCTTTCACTAGCTCATAAAAATATTTATAAAGATCAAAATTGTCAAAATTAACTTTACAATATATGGTTAAAGATAAGTTTTTTTTTTTTTTTTAAAAAAAAAAAAAATAATAATATCTTATACTTATCTTGTCCTTACCTTTACCTTTCTTCTCCTCAATTTTTATTGATTTGTGAAAATACCTGTGAAAGTCAAAATCGTCAAAATCAACTTTATAAATGTACAATTAAAATGAATTTTTTTTTTTAAAAAAAAATAAAACCCTTATACTTATTTTGTCCTTGCCTTTATTTTTTTTTTTTTATCTTTAGCTAATTCATGAGAATATCTGTGAAAATCAAAATCATCAAAATTAGTTTCACAAATATACAATTAAAGGTGAGTTTTTTTTTTAAAAAAAAAAATAAAACCTTATATTTACAGTATGAAACAGTGAAAATTATCAATTTTTAAGAATCTTTTAAAAAAGATAATAACTCAAATTATAATGGTGATACAAAAAATTCTTTGGTAAAATTGTTAATTAAAGGTAATTTATATTTTTATTAAGGAGATTTTCATTTTATTGTATCTAACCTGAGTTATAATAAATCAAAATTCAATAAATTTATATATGATTTATAAAAATTGGTCATGATTTTTTTTGACAAAAATCATACTTCACATTAGCAAAAAAATAAAATCTGTATACAAAAATATTAAAATAACAAATAAAGTTTATCTCACTTAACTAAAAACTGTTGTCATAGTTGATTTAAATACTTCTTTAAAAGAAAAATCTAAATCAGATTTTAAGAATAAATTTTTTAGTTTTGGCATACTAGATTTAGATAATGAAAATACTGTACTTGAACTTTTTAAAGAACTATTCAATAATGAAAATCAGACAAATAAAAAAAAAGAGTTTATTATACTGAACTTTTTTCACACACAAAAAAAAAGAAAAAAATAACAACTTCATAAAGTAGTTATTGGAATAGTACAAATTTCTAAATTTTTTATTTCACAAAATCAATAAGAAATTAATTCTTCTATATTATCACAAAATAAACAATCTAATAAAAATCAAGAAAATAATAATAATGAAAAAAGAAAAAAATATTTTAGATACAATTAAATTTATTGAAAATATTCTTTTAGAAAATATTTTTAGTAATCAAAAGGTTCGTTATTACTCTGTACTTTCTTATTTTCGTCTATTATTATCAGGTAAAAAAAAGATAAATGCAAGTTTAGTGGTTGTCAGAATTTATAAGGGAGATAAATATCATGCATGCTATATTTGGACTTGAATAAAAATATGTTTAGAAGGTATTTAAAAAGTTTATTTTATTAATTAAAAATTATTTGTGAAGTTTAATATTAATTTAATTTAATTTTAAAATAGGTAAACATATTCTAATTAAAAATAAAAAAGTTTCATCACGAAACTTGCTTAATTATAAATTTATTTTTCCTCGAATTTCTTCTTATCTCCAGGTCAATAAATTTCAAGTTGGTCCTTTAATATTGAAACAATATTTTGAAGAAAAAATATTTTCAGAATTAAATATTAAAATACCACATATAATATCTGTTAGAATAGCATATAGATGAATATATAAAATAGATTTTAGACATATTCGTTATTAAAAAAGAATATATATTGATGATTATAATCATCAAAATGTAATATATTAGAAAATTTTTTTTAATAAAAACTTTTGAAAGTTATCGATTTTGATATTTTCACATGACAAAATTTTGTGAATATTATTGTTTTTGTAGTAAATTCATATCAATAACCTTTGAAGATTATTGATTTTGATATTTTCATATGTGAAATTTTAAAATATTATCATTTTCGTATTAAATTCATATCGATAACTTTTGAAGGTTATTAATTTTGATATCTTCATGTACAAAATTTTGCAAATATTATCATTTTCATAGTAATTTCGTATTAATAACTTTTATTTATGTTAGATATTCATAATATATCATTTCAATGGTCATCACTTGCTTTTATATTATTACAATTTTTAATTGACATTATACTGTCAACAATATCTTTCAAAGTTTATCGTAGCAATTTTAATTGACATTGTATTATTAATAATATCTTTCAAAATTTATTGCAGCAATTTTAATCAACATTGCATTGTCAACGATATCTTTCGAAGTTTATTGTAACAATTTTAATTGACATTATATTGTCAACGATATCTTTTGGAAGTTTATCACAGATA